TTTGGCTGCGTTTGGTCTTCATTGCTGTGTGCAGGCTTTCTCTAGTTGCGGCGAACAGGGGCTACTCTTCATTGCAGTGCACAGGCTTCTCATTGCAGTGGTTTCTCTTGTTGTGGAGCACGGGCTCTAGGCATGCGGGCTTCAGTAGTTGAGGCACATGGGCTCAGTAGTTGTGGCTTGCAGGCTTAGTTGCTCCGTGGCATGTGGGATCGTCCCAGTCCAGGGATCGAACCTGTGTCCCCTGCATTGGCAGGTGGATTCTTAACCACTGTGTCACCAGGGAAGTCCCTAGAATGGTCATGTTTATATCTTCAGAAACATCTGGGTAGAATTTTGATAGGAATTGCATTAAACCTGTTTATCAGTTTGAAGAGAATTAACATCTTTTGTTGAGCCTTCCAATCCGTGAACATGGTATGTCTCTCCATTTATTTAGGTCTTTGGTTCTTTGATCAGCATTCTTTCAGCATACAAATCTTGTGCCTGTTTGATAGATTTATACTTAAATATTTTTTCTTTTTTGAAGTGGTTATGAATGGTTTTATAGTTTAAATTTTGATGCCCATGTGTTAATTGCTAGTATATAGAAACACAATTGATTTTTGTATATTTATTTTGTATACTGCAACTTCGTTGAATTCACTTATTTGTTCTAGGAGGGTTTTTTGTTTGTTTTGGTAGATTCCTTAGGATTTTCTGCAAAGACAATCATGTAATCTGCAAATGGGGGCAGTTTTATTTTTTCCTTTCTGATCTGTATGCCTTCTATTTCCTTTTCCTGCACTTTTGCACAGGCTAGAACTTCCCACACTATGTTTAAATAAGTGATGAGAGTGAACATTTTTTCCTAGTTCCCAAATCTTAGGGAGAAAACATTGTCTTTCACCATTAAGTATATTAGCAGTAGTTTTTTTTTCTTTCTTTTTGTAGATACTTTTATCAAGGTGAGGACGTTTCACTTTATTTTAATTTTTCTATGTTTTTATCAGAATGGGTATTGAATTTTAGCAAATACTTTTTATGCATAGGCTGATATGATCATGTTATTTTTCTTCTTAGCCAATTAATATGTTGATTGATTTCAAGTATTGAACCAGTTTACTTCCCTTGAATAAAACACATGGTCATGTTGTATAGTTCTTTAGCTATTGCTAAATTCTGTTTGCTAAAATTGCTAAATTTTATTTACTAATATTTTGTTAAGGATTTTTGCATCTATTTTCATGAGGAACATTGATCTCTAGTTTTTGTTTTGTTTTTCTACTGTCTTTGTCTGGTTTTTGTATCAGGGTAATACTAGCTTCAAAAGATGAATTGGTAAGTGTCCCCTTCCTCAAATAGTTTCTGGAGGAGATTGTGTAGCATTGCTGTTAGTTCTTTAAATGTTTGGTCGCATTCTCCAGTGAAATCAGCTAGACCTAGAATTTTTTTTTTTTGAGAGTGCTTAAATTATGAATTCAGTTTTCTAATAGGTATGAGCCCATTCATATCAACTATTTTGTGTTTGAACAGTTGTTTTAGTTTGTATTTTTTAAGGAATTGATCCTTTTGGTCTAAGTTGTCAAATTTATGTGTGTAAGTTTTAGTATTCCTAATTATCTCTTAGATTTCTTCAGGGTCTCTAGTGATATCCCTGGGTTTTTTTTCCTGATTTTGGTAGTTTGTGTGTTGTGTGTCTTGCTAGAGGTTTGTCAATTTTATTGATCTATTTAAAGAATTCTTTGTTTTATTTTTAAATTGTTTTTCTGTTTTAAAATTTTATTATTTTGTGTTTTCCATTATTTCTTTCCTTTTGCTTGCTTTGCGTTTATTTATTTATCCTAGGTTCTTGAGGTGAAAGTTTAGATGATTTATTTGACTTTTCCTCTTTTCTAATATAGCATTTTAATGACTATAGCTTCTGGGGTGTCCCACAAATTTTACCATCTTGTAATTTCATTAAAATTTTTAAAAATAAATTTATTTATTTATTTATTTTTGTCTGTGTCGGGTCTTCGTTGCTATGCATGGGCTTTCTCTAGTTGCAGCGAGTGGGGGCTGCTCTTTGTTGTAGTGCGTGAGCTTTTCATTGCAGTGGCTTCTCGTGTTATGGAGCACGGGCTCTAGGCACACGGGCTTCACTAGTTGTGGCACAGGGGTGGGCTCAGTAGTTGTGGCTTGCGGGCTGTAGAGTGCAGGCTCAGTAGTTGTGGTGCACGGACTTAGTTGCTCCGCGGCATGTGGGATCTTCCCGGACCAGGGCTTGAACCTGTGTCCCCTGCATTGGCAGGCGGATTCTTAACCACTGCGCCACCAGGGAAGTCCCTCATTTTAATTTTAGTTCACTGTACTTTTTATTCCCTTTGAGACTTTCTCTTTGACTGATTATTTAGAAATGTGTTATTTAATGTCCAAGTGAATGGAGATTTTCCTGTTATCTTTCTGTTACTGATTTCTAAATAGTTTGATTCCACTGTGGTTGGAGAATCCAATCTATGATTATTTTATTTATTTGTTTGTTTTTTAAATTTTTGGCTGCACTGGGTCTTCCTTGCAGCGTGCGGGCTTTTCGTTGTGGGTTTCTCTCTAGTTGCGGGCTCAGGAGCATGCGGGCTCAGTAGTTGTGACACGCAGGCTTCTCTCTAGTTGTGGCTCGCAGTTTTGGTTGCCTCGTGGCATGTGGGATCTTAGTTCCCCAACCAGGGATCGAACCCACATCCCCTGCATTGGAAGGCGGATTCTTCACCACTGGACCACCAGGGAATTCCCGCAATTCTTTTATACTTGTTGAGGTTTGTTTAAAGGCCCAGGATATGGTCTATCTTGGTATATGTTCTGGGGACACTTGAAAAGAATGTATATCTGCTGTTGTTGGGTGTAGTGTTTTTATAAATGTTAATTGGACCCTGTTGATTGAGGTATCATTGAGAACTTCTATATCTTTGCTGATTTTCTTTTTTCTTTTAAGTTCTCTTTAATACTTATTTATTTTATTTTGGCTGTGTTGACTCTTAGTTGAGGTATGCCAGATCTTTGTTGGCGGCATACCGGATCCTCCCCTGCGGTGCGGACTCCTCGTTGTGGCGCGCGAGCTTCTCTGTAGTGGCGCGTGGGTTGCAGAGCGTGTGGGCTCTATAGTTGTGGCGTGTGGGCTCCAGAGCTTGTGGGCTCTGTAGTTTGCAGCACGTGGGCTCTCTAGTTGTGGCCCGCATGCTTAGAAGTTGCAGCGCGCAGGCTTAGTTGCCCCGCAGCATGTGGGATCTTAGTTCCCTGACCAGGGATCAAACCCACGTCCTCTGCATTGGAAGGTGGATTCTTAACCCCTGGACCACCAGAGAAGTCCCTGTTTAGCTATAGGTCTGCTGGTGACAAATCCTCCTTAGTTTTCCATCATCAGAGAATGTGATTTCCCACTCATCTCTTAAACTTTTTTTTTAATTTTTAAAAATTTTAAAAATTTTATTTAATTTTGGCTGAAGCAGAAGTAGTATATGACATTTAATAAGAAAATTTTGTAAAATAAATTAATGGAGAATGGAGGACTTTCCTATTAGATAATTCAAATGTACTATAAAGCTGTAGTTATCAAACATGTTCAGTATTGACATAGGAGCTGGAAAATATATTAATACAGAATAAAAGTATAGAAAGAGATCAATTATTTGCAGACACCTAAAAGTAAAGTAAAGTAAGTAAAGTAGTAAAGTAAAAGTAAAGTAGTAAAGGAGTCATTTCCGATAAGTGAGGAAAGGATGGATTATCCCATAAATGATATTAGAATAATTATCTAACCATGTGTAAGAAAATAATCAGAGTCCTGCCTTATGCCAGGTAGGCATAAGTAGTAAATTCCATATGGATTAAAAATCTAAATGTGAAACACAAAAGTATTATAAGAAAATATAGAAATAATCTCGAGGGTGGGGAGCTTTCCTAAGTAAGACAGAAATCCCGGAATTATTTAGGAAAACACTGATAAATTTTACAGCATAAAATTGTGAAATGTTATATATTTAAAGGCTAAGGTAGGTGATGAAAAATATTTGTAATACATAACAGGCATTTATTATCTTTTATATATTGATATCCTTTAATATCCTTTATATACTGATAGATCTTACAAATTCATTAGAAAAAGATATTCAGTATAAAAATATTAAAGATATGAAGAGTCAACTCATTGATTTCAGATGACTAATGTAAAAAGATACAAGAATTACAACAAATACTGTACCATTTTTACCTGTCAGGTTTGGTGAAATTAAAAAGTATAATATGCAGTTCTGGTGAGGGAAATAGGTACTCTCATATCCTGTTAGTGGGAGCAAAAATTGTAGCAGGCTTTCTGGAACATAATTAGCCATGACCAAATGTGCCTGTTTTTGATCAGAGAGATAGGTGTATATAATCTGAGGGAAAAAATAAGAAATAAAATGAGCTCAACTTAAAAAAAAAACACATTTGTTTATTTATTTGGCTGCACTGGGTCTTCGTTGCAGCACGTGGGATCTAGTTCCTTGACCAGGGATCAAACCCGGGCCCCCTGCATTGGGAGCGCAGAGTCTACTGGACCACCAGGGAAGTCCCTACTCTATATAGTTTTTTTTTGAGTATTGGAATTTAGGTGATTTTTTAAATTTTGGGTTTTTTTTGTATTTTCCAAAAAAAATAAATCAGAGGAGCTAAGTTATGTATATTTGTTGCATTAGTGAAATATGTAAACCAATTTGTGTGTGTGTTTTAGATTAATATTATGTCACTATTACCAGCTTTTAAAAGAGAAGGCTATAGAATATAGTGCTACCTCTTCCAAACTGTATGAAGTTGGGGGAATTGAAGTGTAGGGAAATCTTTTCTCAGGGTAAGAATTCAAGAAAAGCAGCCTGGACGTGAGCATTTGGGTTTTCTAGCAAACTCCTGAGATTTTATCCATAGCTTGAGCCTTTCTTCTAGCCAGTTTGATGATGATGATAAGCAAGAACAATCTTTTTAAAATCTGTATTTCTGTTTTTCTCTGACAGAAATGACATCAGATGTACCATCACTGGGTCCAGCCATTGCCTCTGGAAACCCTGGGCCTGGAATTCAAGGTGGAGGAGCCATTGTCCAGAGGGCTATTAAGCGGCGACCAGGGTGAGTTTGAGTGTACTATGTTACAAATGTCTCTCCTTTAAACCAGCCTGATTTTGTTAGTCGCTGAACCATCTATTCCTAACCCTCTCACTTCTTCTGGCTACTTACTACACTCCTATCAGATAACTTTCTTTAATCCCTGGATTTTTCTTTGTATGGAATTGATGTCTTTATCTTAGTTTCTTACAAGCAGTTTTATTTTGTTTTTTAAAACAAAAATCTCTAAGAGGTAAAGGACTCTGGCTAAGCCCAAAGATTTCACCATTGCTGAGAAAATTTCACTGCTTTCATTAAGCTTTGTATCTGCATTCTCAAAATTTTTTGGTAGGCCTTTTTTTTTTTCTTGGCTGCGTTGGGTCTTCGCTGCTGCACTTGGGCTTTCTCTAGTTGCAGCAGGCAGGGGCTACTCTTAGTGGCGGTACATGGGCTTCTCATTGCGGTGGCTTCTCGTTGTGGAGCACGGGCTGTAGGTGCGTAGGCGTCAGTAGTTGCAGCACACGGGCTTAATAGTCACGACACAAGGGCTCTAGGGCGCGCGGGCTTCAGTAGTTGTGGTGCTCAGGCTCCGTAGTGGTGGCTTGCGGGCCCTAGAGCGCAGGCTCAGTAGTTGTGGTGCACGGGCTTAGTTGCTCCATGGCATGTGGGATCTTCCCAGACCAGGGATCGAACCTATGTCCCCTGCATTGGCAGGTGGATTCTTAACTACTGTGCCACCAGGGAAGTCCCTGGTAGGCTTTTTACTTTTCTGAATTTAGAGAATGCTGAACTGTAGAATATGTCTCCTTTAAGTTATTGATCTGTTGCCTTGCTTGGAACCTAGAGTCCATTTAGTTCCAAAATTATTTATTAGATGCCTCATTAGTGTAAGTCATTGTGCCGATTGCTACTAGGATACAGAGGTAAATAAGGCACAGTCTTCGTCTTTTAGTTGCTTATGTTCTGAAAGGGATAATCACTACATGCATAAATATAATTCAAGATAGAATATGCCAGGTTTGCTAAGAAAGGAGCAGATACACTGCTGTGTGTTCCAGTGTATGGGAATACCACCATTGGTTGTTAGAAATTGGGAAAGGCTTCAGAAAAGAGGTTGCTTTAGAAAGGCCTGGAAGAATGGGTAGTATTTTACCTACTTTTTAAAGTATTAAAGTATTGAATTTCTTTTTCTTTCTTTTTCTTTTAATAATTATGTAGCTAGTGTTATAACTAGTCTTTAAGTTTCCTCTTACCAGTAGTAATGAAAGAGTGATCCCTGGGTTAAGGTGTTAACATGAGTAACATATTAAGACTTGCTATGTCTCCAAGAGCTTTATACATTTTAACTCATTTACTGAGGTATCTGGTGAATAAGTAACTTACCCAAGGTTTTGAAGCTAATAAGTGGAAGATCTATGATATGAACCTTGGGAGGTTAGCTTTTATTGTCTACTCTCTTAAACACAGTGTTATGGTTATATATAATAGCAAACAATTAGAAGCAGTATTATCAAAATTAGGGGATTGATTGAGAAAGTTGTATTGAAAATGTACAGCTATTAGAAGTGACAAATATGTATTGGTACAGAAAAATGTTTACAGTATATTGAGAAAAGAGGTTACAGGGGCTTCCCTGGTGGCACAGTGGTTAAGAATCCGCATGCCAATGCAGGGGACACGGGTTCAAGCCGTGGTCCGGAAGCTTCCACATACCACGGAGCAACTAAGCCCATGTGCCACAACTACTGAGCCTGCGCTGTAGAGCCCACGAGCCACAACAACTGAAGCCCGTGTGCCACAACTACTGAAGCCTGCACGCCTAGAGCCTGTGCTCTGCAACAAGAGCAGCCACCACAATGAGAAGCCCTCGCACCACAATGAAGAGTAGCCCCCGCTCACCACAACTAGAGAAAGGCACACAGCAACAGAAGACCCAACGCAGCCAATAAATAAACAAATAAATAAATAAAATACATTTTAAAAAAAGAATAAAATGAAATAAAAAAGGTTACAGTGTATGTAATATACCAACTCTATCAGAAAAAAATATATAAATAACATGTGTGCATAGCAAAAAAACTGAAAGGATACTCATCAGATGTATGGGTGATGGGATTATGGGTGATTTATTTTTTCTTTTGTTTTTAGTTATTTCTAGATTTTCTGAAGTAAGTGTGTTTTATTGATAATCAGGAAAATATATTAAAATAAATATACATTTTTTAAAAGAAAGATTGGAAAATATAGAAAGAAGACTAAAGAGCAATAATCCTACTACCCAAAGTCATCTCCCATCAGTTTTTTTTAGGGTAATTACTTCATTCTTTATTCTATATGTAGATTTCTTTAAATAGTTATAATCATATAATTATGTAGGTTTATATAGTCTGGTCTTTTTACCTAATTGTATACAATAACCTTTTTTCCATATTGTCACATATGCTATAGAAACATAATTTAAAATACTTACATAGAGGGGATGTACTTAATTGCTATTTTGGGACATTTAAACTGTTTTGAAGATTTGCTGTTATATATAATGCTTAATGAATATCTTTGTATATAAATTTTTTTCTCTGAGTTATTTCTTTAGGATAGATTCTTAGAAGTGGAGTTATTGGGTAAATAGGTAGACTTTGACAGGTGATCTGGGGCTACAGAGAGGAAGAAGAATGGACACTTTCAGGGTTGATGCTATGTACTTCATATATAACCCATTTAGAGGCCCATAATATCAGGTTATCACAGTAGTAGAGATGCCAAGATCATTGGGTTAAGGTGGTAACATGAGTAATGTTTTAGTTTAATGGAGTATAGAGATTAATAGGAGATTGGCCTATCTTGTTACCTATAATCTTGCCTAATCCCTTGAAATGAAAGTCACCTCTGCTTTTACGAAACATTTAAAGCTTCTTGATTGTGCTCTCCATATGAAGCTTTCTCATTCTCACTTGTATATTTTATTTGTCTAGGCAAAGAATCCCTTGAGGGCAAGTCTTTTGTTTTCACCTCATCTAGCACAGTATCCGGAATGTAGCATATATTACTTGTTCATTAGGTGAATGAAGGAGAGAAACATCATTTAACAACCTTCGGGGAATTCCCTGTTGGTTCAGTGGTGAGAACTCCACGCTTTCACTGCTGAGGACGCGGGTTCAATCCTGGGTTCAGTCCCTTGGGAACTAAGATCCCACAAGCTGTGCAGCGCAGCCAAAAAGCAACCAACCAACCAACCAGCCAACCTCCAGAGGTCTTAAAATCACTCCCTATGGAACATCACTGTTTTGAGAGATGTTTCAGAGAGCTTAACATAGCCTAAGGCAGACTATAGAAATGAAAAACAGTCCTGAATTATTCATATTAATTTTTTCTTGTCTTTTTGAGTTGATCCTGCTCCTTTTGTAGAGGTTGTACTGTGATATAAAACTTTGGCAAAGGTGGATTGCTACCCTAGGAAAATGAAAGGTAGCAATAGGTATTCCTTTTTTTTTTTTTTCTTTTTGCGGTACGCTGGCCTCTCACTGTCGTGGCCTCTCTCGTTGCGGAGCATAGGCTCACAGGCCTAGCCGCTCCGCGGCATGTGGGGTCTTCCCGGACCGGAGCACAAACCCGTGTCCCCTGCATCGGCAGGCGGACTCTCAACCACTGCGCCACCAGGGAAGCCCCGGTATTCCCTTTTGATTGGCTAATTTCTTTGCCCAGTTTGGTACAACAGGAAGAGGTAATATACCTTTACTTATTCCACTTCCTCTTTTCCTTCTTCCATCTGAGTGGGTGTTCAGATAGCTTGTAGATTTAGAATTTTAATTTTTTTAATGTTCTGCATTTTCAATAGGCTGATAATATTTTTTGTTGGCTTTCCCCAGATTGGATTTTGATGATGATGGAGAAGGGAACAGTAAATTTTTGAGGTAAGATCTTAAAAAACTTTCTCTAGATTTCTGATATTAAAAATTATTTCATTATCTTTATATTTCTGACTCATAATATTTTTGTCTTTAGGCCTAAGGAGAGTGCTTCACCCTAAAACTAAAGTTACCTATTACATTATACCCCATAAAATTTTCAAGCATTCTGGTAATAGCTCCAGAGGAAAGAGCTCAATGAGGGGAGAGCAGAGGAATTTACAAGACCCTCTGTGTCAGTTATCTATTGTTGTGTGGCTTAAAAAGAAAAATGATTTATTATTTCTCACAATTCTGTGGATTGGTTAGATGGTTATTCTGCTGATCTTGCCTAGACTCACTCATAAGACTGCATTCAGCTGCCTTGTCAGCTGGGAACTGGACTCAGCTGATAAGGCTGGGTATCTCTTTCTTTGTGGTCTTTTATCCTTAAGGAGGGCAGACTGAGTGTCTTTACATGGTGATGGCTGCAATCCAAAGGGCAGGTCCCAGTCTGAATGCTTATCAAGCTATTGCTTTGGATTGACGTTTGCTGTTGTCCCATTGGCTAAAGCAAGTCATATGTCTGAGTCCTGATTCAGTACAGGATGGTGCTATACCAGGTAGTGAATACTGCAAGGTGTAATTAGTTTGGGGGTCATTAATGTACTAATCTTTCATGCCCTCTAATACTCACTGACTTCTCCTACAGAGCAGGAATTGGAATTTGTATCTTTGAGTAGTGAATCTTCTGGAGAACTGAAAATGGACTTTTCAGTATATTGATGAAGGAGTTTTTTCAGAAAAGGGAAATTTTTATTTTTGCTTAAGACCAGTCACTTGGCTTTGTTTTTAAGTAAGGAAAGCTATAAGAGTCAAAGAATGGAAGATAACCTTGACTGCAACCTGCCTTTTTTCTTTTCAAATTTGAAAATATTACCTAGGTAGTGTCTACATTGCAGAATAACAAATATTTGAGAAATAAATAAAGGAGCCCTATTTTTTAAACAATTTATTTTATTATGTGAGTGCCCAGGCTTCATTATTTGTTTGTTTTATTAACTAAGTTCTTAAAAGAAATATAAACATTATATTGCAAAATTTTTAAACAGTGCAGAGTTATATGTAATGAAAGTACATCTTCCCTCACTTCAGACCTTCAGAATCCTTCCCCTTAGACAATTGTAGTTTCCAGTTTATTAAGTATCCTTCCAGAAATATTCAGTGCATATGTAAGTGTATTTAAATGCACATATATGTGTGCACATACACACACTGTCTCCTCAGTTTTTGTTTTTACACAGAGGATGCCCATATTGTAAATTGCTTGCCATTGTTTAGTTTTGTAATGCTTAGTCAGTTACATCTATCTGTGTATTTTTTTTAATATCGTTGTTGTTTTTGCAATGTTTAAAGTGAAAGCTTGTGTTTCTAGCAACTGCCTAGTTGCGGAACACTGCCATATATTCTTGAAAACAACAACCATGGCTTGGCCACCATAAAGAGATAGTTGCAAAATATTGGAGAAAGCAATTCTCCAGGAGAGCTCTTTAGACTTAATGAGTGTCAACAAATGTGAAGAGGGGTAGAGATTTCAATTTCTGTTCAAGAATAGACTTTTTTCATACAGTTCCATTGGGAATTCCTCCAGTTAGGAATCCCTAATTATAATGATAAATACTGTTAGTGGAACTGTGTTGTGCATATGAATGAGATAGGGGTAACCACTAGTCTTATTTATACCTATCAGTTAGCTCTATCCCTGAGTCATTGCTTCCATTTCCACAAAATCTGGTAGTCACAAACTATATGCAAATTTAAAAAGGTTTATTTGTCTTTTCCCCAACCATAAAAAAAGGTTTTCATAATTCATCTTACCAAGTAGGTCATTATGCCCAAGTGAGGCATCACCAATTTTTTTTATTTGACCATCGGTACTTTTTTTTTTTGGCCTCGCGGCAAGTGGGATCTTAGTTCCCCAACCAGGGATCGAACCCATGTCTCCTGCAGTGGAAGCATGGAGTCCTAACCACTGGACCGCCAGGGAATTCCCAGTACTTTTTTTTTTTTTTTAATTGGAATTCTCCACTTTGGTCAATGAGTGAAAGTCTTATTTGCGTTGTATCTGTAAATCAATATTAAATCTCCTTGGTGGATGAAAGCTGTAATTTATTACCTCTTTTCATCACTTTGTTCAAGTGTCATTTTTTTAAAAAATTCATTTTTTAAATTTATTTACTTTTGGCTGCATTGGGTCTTCATTGCTGTGCGTGGGCTTTCTCTAGTTGCGGCGAGCGGGGGCTACTCTTCATTGTGGTGCGCATGCTTCTCATTGCAGCGGCTTCTCTTGTTGCAGAGCACAGACAACAGAGATATAGGCTATATATAACGCTATAGGCGTGCGGGCTTCAGTAGTTGTGGCACACGGGCTCTACTAACTAACTAACTACTGATAGCTGTGGCTCGTGGGCTCTAGAGTGCAGGCTCGGTAGTTGTGGCGCACAGGCTTAGTTGCTCTGTGACATGTGAGATCTTCCGGGACCAGGGCTCGAACCTGTGTCCCCTGCGTTGGCAGGCGGATTCTTAACCACTGTGCAACCAGTGAAGTACCAAGTGTCATTTTGTTATATTCTCCAGACAACATCTATAAAATACATATATTTTTTTAAACAGAGGAAATTTATTTTCTTACAGTTCTAGAGGCTGGAAGTCTGCGGTCAAGGCACCAGCATGGTTGGGCTCTGGTGAGAGCTCTCTTCTTGGCTTGCAGATGGTTGCTTTCTTGTTGTGTCCTCACACAACAGAGGAAGAGGAAGAGAAGTAAGAGAGAAAAAGAGAGAGAGAGACCATAAAATAATTTTTAAGAATATAAAGACTTTGAAATTCTAGGTACAATATTAGAGTTGCTAGTATCTAGAATGCTTCTCAAATTCAAACAAATGCATGTACAAATCCACCAGGGGTTCTTGATAAGATAGAGATTATAATTCATTAGGTCTGTGGTAGTACCCAAGATTCTGCATTCTAATAGATTCCTAAGTGATGCTGCTGTTTCTGGTCCACTGACCACATTTTGAGTAGCAAATATCTGCAAGATTCATTCTTGAGATTCAAAATTAATATGAAAGGACTTCCCTGGTAGTGCAGTGGTTAAGAATCCGCCTGCCAGTGCAGGGGACATGGGTTCGAGCCCTGGTCCGGGAAAATCCCACATGCTGTGGAGCAACTAAGCCTGTGCACTGCAGCTACTGAGCCCATGTGCCACAACTACTGAAGCCTGTGTGCTTAGAGTCCGTGCTCCGCGACAAGAGAAGCCACCGCAGTGAGAAGCCCACACACGGCAACGAAAAGTAGCCCCTGCTTGCCACAACTAGAGAAAGCCTGTGCACAGCAACGAAGACCCAACTCAGCCAAAAGTAAATTAAAACAAACAAACAAACAAAATTAATATGTAAATTATAGGTCTCTTTTTTCAGCTTAGATCACTGTTTTCATTAAAAGTTTGTAGTGGGCTTCCCTGGTGGCGCAGTGGTTGAGAGTCCGCCTGCCGATGCAGGGGACACGGGTTCGTGCCCCGGTCCGGGAAGATCCCAGATGCCGTGGAGCAGCTGGGCCCGTGAGCCATGGCCGCTGAGCCTGCGCGTCCAGAGCCTGTGCTCCGCAACAGGAGAGGCCACAACAGTGAGAGGCCCGAGTACCACAAAAAAAAAAAAAAAGATAATTTCCATGATACTTGAAGAACTCCTGCAACTCAATAACAAAAAAACAACCTGATTAAAAAATGGGCAAAGGACTTTCAATAGACATTTCTCCAAAGAAGATACACAAATGGCCAAAAAGCATATGGAAAGATGCTCATGATCACTAATCAGAGAAATGTAAATCAAAACCACAATGAGTAGGCCATTAGGCTGGCCACCATCAAAAAACCCGGAAAATAACAAGTGTTGGTGAGGATATGGGGGAATTGGAACTCTTGTGTACTGTGGATGGGAATGTAAAATGGTGCGGCCACTTTGGAGGAACATTAAAAACAGAATTATCATATGATCCAGCAGTGCCACTTCTGGTGATATATCCAAAAGAATTGAAAGCAGGATCTTGGAGAGATATTTGCACACTCATGTTCACTGCCCAATTTTTCATAGTAGCTGAGAGGTGGAAGCACCCCAAATATCCATTGACGAATAAAGAAGTGTGGTATATACAGCTAGTGGAATATTATTCAGCCTTAAAAAAGAAGGAAGTTCTATCACATACTACAACGTGGGTGAACCTTGAGGACATTATACTAAATGAAATGAGCCAGTCACAAAAAGATAAATACTGTACGATTTCACTTATATGAGGATCTAAATAAAGTAGCCGAAATCAGAGAGACAGAAAGTAGAATGGTGGTTGCCAGGAGCTGGGCGTGGGATGGGGGCAGGGAGAGTGGGAGGATGGTGTTCAGTAGCTATAGAATTTCAGTTTTTCAAGGTGAAAAAGTTCTAGAGATATTTTGTACAACAGTGTGAACATATTGTAGTTAGCACTACTGAATTGTACACTTAAAAATGGTTAAGATGGTAAATTTTGTGTTACACGTTTTTTGCCATAATTAATGAAAAACAAAAACAAAACAATCTTTAACCTCAGTGGTGTTGACAGGGTAGTCAGCTGTGCCGTCATGAGATCATCGTCTGTTTTTGGAGTGTCTGATAAGTAAGAGTAAAGGACACATTAGAACCCTGACAAATAATAGTCATGGGTTTTTAAGTTCTGTGGGATGCTGTTATTATCTCTGTTGTTTTGTGATGCCTTTTCATTGGCTTTTTTTTGTTGAATATTTTTTACCCCTTTCTAGTTTTCCTTTCAGAGTGAAATAGATATAACAAGTGTAATGCCTTGGACTAAGCCCCTTTTTTTCTCCTTCAGGTGTGATGACGATCAGATGTCTAATGATAAGGAGCGGTTTGCCAGGTAATGTAGTAGAGCATCTTGGTCCTTGTCGTGGGACCAGGCAATTCAAAAATACTGAGTTTTAATTTTATCTCAGTGAGAGTTAATTTCTCTATCCAGTCTGTTTCTTCTTCTGAAAGCTGTTGAAATTTAGTATTATACTTGTTTACGTTTGGGTAACAGGGCTTCAGACTTACGGCTTCAAACTAATGGTATATTTTACCCAGTGTTTTTATGTATGTGTTAGATAGCTATACAGTGTGCTTGCTGGGTGTCCACAGGAACACAAACAATATGAATTTCTTTGTTGCATTTATTATTAAGTGGATCTACAAAATCTGTATAGATAATGGTTTTATTTTTTTAAAAATAACAGCAAAGAAATGATTTATGTGAAGACTGGAGTTTTTATTGAAAACAATATGTTTATCTGTCAAGAGGATGAAAAATAATTTGCTTTATTAAACAGATCCTTCTCAAGTCAAATATTGGTTTATTTTTAGAAAGTTTATTCTATATATTATTAAGTAGTAAGTTATTTGTTTTTTAAATATCGAGTTTGCAGCCACCTCAGAAAAGTGAATAATCCCAAATCCAGTGCTTAACTAATAAGCATTTACTATTTATTCATTGCTGATACTGCTGGTCTGGGGCCCATACATTGAGAACAATTGATGTAGAGGGCTAAGAAATATCAGTCAGAGTAGTCTAAAACTACTCTGAAGCAGTGAGATGCCATCATAAGCTTTGAATGAGATGCTAATATATAAAATGCATATGGGATTTTTCTCTAGTAGCAGTATATAGGACTGATTAAACAGAAGCACTATAGTGAGGGAGGTAGATATGAGGCTATTGAAATAATAAGACAGTGATAAAATCATGAGGGCCTGGGCTAGAATGGTGGCAATGACAGTAGGAAAGGAGTGAATTTAAGAGGTTTTTGAAGAATTTGTTTATCGAAGTAGATACTTGTAAACATTTTAGGATGTGGACCATCTCTAAAATGAGAAGTTAATAATAGGGATTTGGGGAGTAGTTTTTCAAAAGCTGCATTAGAAAGTGAAGCCATCAAATAGTAGTGGTGGTGGTACAGGTTCATAGTCTCTTGACTGAAATTCCTAAAAGCTATGAAAACATGACCTGAACTGTTTTAGACTTCATTTGTCTTGCTTAATGTGAATATTTATACATTCATGTATTTCACTCGGAAATATTAGAGTGGATAAGGGATTATGGATCTGTAGGAGTAGGAGTAGTAATAGGAATTTTAGATATTTAACTTTCAAACAAAGGAACTCATTTCTTTTTCTTTTTTTTTTTTCTTTTTGGCTACACTGTGTGGCTTGTGGTATCTTAGTTCGCTGACCAGGAGTTGAACCTGTGCCCTCAGCAGTGAAAGTGTGGAGTCCTAACCACTGGACTTGCAGGGAATTCCCAGAACTCATTTCTTTAAGATATGATTTGTTAAGCTAGTTCACCTCACATATCCTCCTTCGGAATTCAGTTAGAGGGTCTTTAGAAGCTTAAATGAATTTTCCCAACTTTTTGAAAAAATGATTTGTAGTTTGTTAAGGAATTATAACAACCCAATGAACATGAAACTTCACTTAATATCACTGTTTTCTTTCTCTTCTGGTAAGTATGCATAAGTTTTCACATGGTTCTTATCATTACTGTGTTATTTTTTGTCTCTTTTTTTTTCCTGCTGGCCATTTTTTAGAAACTTTCCCATATATTGATAAAGTCATTATATTTGTCATTTTTAATAGCTAGTCTTTCAGCCTGTTATGTCATACTTAGACTTTTTTTGTTACTCTATTTATTGTTATCTCTTTATGTTTTTATATATATATATATATATATATATATATATATTTAAGATGGAATTGATTACTGATAAACTGGCCTACCAACACCTTGTTTCTTCAGCTGTCACCAACCCTTATAGTATTTTAGTTATCCAGAGAAATTTAGTGATAATCTTTGTAGCCGCCTCCAGGAAGGGGGAGTTGGTACTAGGATCTAGCAATGTTATGGCTTTATTGCAGAGAAATGGGAAAGTGACTGAATCGAAATTTACTACTTTAGGATCAAATCATTGATAGGGAATATATCAGAAACTTAGCTCTTAGTTTTATTTATGTAATTTCTCCAGTGAAGCTGTTTGGTTATTTTGTCTGTGAGTGCATGTGTGCTATATGTGTGTTATAGAAAGATTGTGATCACTTGTTTGACATTCTTATCATGATTTACTGTTTGATTTTTTTTCATTATAGAATAGCATATGTGGATATCATTTTCTTTTCAGATTGGGATCATTGTGTGAGAATGGTATTCCCTTGTTTGTTTCTTGTTCAAACTGTATATCCTTGGTTTCTACAGAGAATGATTGGCTTACTGTGCTCAGATTATGTTAATTTATAATGAATATTAGCCTTGCTTTTATGTTGACCTTTGTCCTGTAAGTTACTTTTTCTTAATCCTAACAGATGGCTTTTTAGAGTTACAGGCAAGGTTCTTGTCCATATTTCCATTTTCCCCTCTCTTCTCTGCATCTGTTTTGTTCTATTTCTTTTCTTTCCTTCCCTTCCCTTTTTTCTCTGTCCCTTCCCTCTCTCCTTCCCTTCCTCCCTCCCTTCCTTTCTTCCTTCCTCTTTCTTCCCTTCCTCCCTTCTTTCCTTCCTTCCTTCTTTCTTTTTATTTTACTTTTAGCTTAGTTCGTTAATTCTGTTTTTAGGTCGGATGATGAGCAGAGCTCTGCGGATAAGGAGAGACTCGCCAGGTAGGAGAACAGTGTCTTTTGGCATGATGAAGCAGATCATGCTGCTTTTTCTATCCTTTTTCTTATTCTGCTCTTTTCTTCCCCTTTCTCTTCGTGTTTTTCCTTGTCTGTGGCAAGAGAGGACAAGATTTTTAGAAGTTTGTGTGTAACAGGAACTTTGGCTTCCCCCATCAGAAAGTGGGTGGTTGAAGGAACTTTACTTAGGAATTTAAGAAATTGCTATTAGTTTTTATAGATTTCTCTTTTTATCTTTATCTTAGCACTAAGTTTCACAGAATAAAAAGCTTTCAGAAACAGTGCAGCTGTGCCAGTTGGTGCTTTAGCAGGGAAATACTCCTTCATCAGAAAACCAGTAAATATATCTGTGTTTGCAATTAGTTCCCAGTCTTTAGGCCTCAGTATTTACTCCACACCTCTCTAGAAGGCTCACCCTTCTTTTCCTGTGTAGACTCACAGTCTAGATTACTTTATCACAGCAGTACTGGTGTTGCTTTGGTGATTGAATCTTTTGTGTTTCCCAGAAAAGCTTAGCAGCCTAGATGTGGCTGTTTAAAAGATCAGCCTTATGGATTTCAGTGTCAGAAATCTGTCAGATACTAGGAAAATGGGTGCTTTATGTTTGAGTATTGAATTTTATGTTTCTCAGGCAAAGTAACTGAATGTCAATCTATGTTGTGAGACCTTTTCAGTAAAGGAGACTCTATGGAGTTCTCTTTGGAGACTGTTGTCGATAATGTAGAAATACTGTGGAAGAAATGTTGTGCCCAAATTTTCCTGTTTTTTGGTCTCTGTGATTTGGGATACTCAGTAGGAGGTAGATCACTAATACCAGTACCAGTTTTTATTACTTCCCCCCTCTTACCTACCATTTCCTCTTTCAGCTGGGCCGCAAGCTCATTTTGCTGCCATTTCAACTTATGTCTCCTACGAACTCTTTCACTTTCATAAAACTGATTGGTGTGGTATGGTGGGAAGAACATTGCCTTCATTGGGAATGAGGGCAGCCCTTAGAAGAGTCAGTTAACTGCTTGACCTTAGTTTGCTCTTATCATAAAAAAGAGATTTATGTTAGATTTGTTGTGTTCTTTTTGTTTTGGCAGAGAACTTTTGTTCCAATAGAATCCTTAAGTGATAATAGAAGTCAATAAAAAAGACAAAAGCAAAGCTGCTCAAGTAAAAACAGAAATGTAGCATGTTGTTTGGGTCTTTCCTTGAAGCAGTCCCACAGAAGACACTGAGGAACTATTAGGCTTTTCAGAAATCCAGTTTGAAAACTACTGGATTACTATTTTTAACAATGATATTCTGTTTGATTTTGAGGAAGTCAGTATTGGAGATATGTTCTACTTACCCTGGTGAGATCCAGATTGTATGTTTTCAGGCCTTTAAACATCTTCCTGTCCACTTCACTCCTATTCTCCAGTTCGCTTTGTCCCAAATTGGGCACCCATAAGGGACCTCTAGTAGATGATATCTTACAAATCTCATGAGCTCAGTGTACTGGCACCAAACCCAGATAGAGAAGGTAGGGCTTTGTGCATTAGTGGGACAAGTAAAACTTCCAATTCTGCTGTCTAGTGTTGAGAATAAGAGAGAAGCTTAGAACAAACAGCATTTTATAGACCAAGGGAATCTATACTATCAATTCTTGTATCAGCTGTTGAGCAACATACTTGTGTTGGAAAAAATTGGTCATTTTATGTTTTCAGCCTTTAAAAAGTTGAATTGGTAGACATGAAATCAGCCAAGCTGCTTTCAGCATTTTTTAAGACTGTCATTTCTTTTTTTTTTCCTAACATCTTTATTGGAGTATAATTGCTTTACAATGGTGTGTTAGTTTCTGCTTTATAACAAAGTGAATCAGCTGTACATATACATATATCCCCATATCTCTTCCGTCTTGTGTCTCCCTCCCTCCCACCCTCCCTATCCCACCCCTCTAGATGGTCACAAAGCACTGAGGTAATCTCCCTGTGCTATGTGGCTGCTTCCCAAGACTGTCATTTCTTAAAACACATTTTGTTCTGAGGGAGTGGTAATTTACATAGGAAGTGAAGTTTCCAGGAGTTAGAATTGCTGGTATCTGCTTGTACCCTGTCTGCCTCATTAGTTTCTATTCCATACTTGCTCTGCATGAGAAGTTTGGCAAACCTTACTTTAACTTCTGAGACTTAAGCATCACTAAATCTGAATACCATATTTCTTCAGCAGCTCACTTGGTATTCATATCTCTCTCCCGGCTCCCAAATGGCCAGATGTGACCACCTGGATGGGGCTTCTCCTCTCTCTCTCTCTCCATGCAGGGAAAACCATAGTGAAATTGAACGGCGCCGACGGAACAAGATGACAGCCTACATAACAGAACTGTCAGACATGGTACCCACCTGTAGTGCCCTGGCTCGAAAACCAGACAAGCTAACCATCTTACGCATGGCGGTTTCTCACATGAAGTCCTTGCGAGGAACTGGCAACACATCCACTGATGGCACCTACAAGCCGTCTTTCCTCACTGATCAGGTCTCTGGGAAGCACAGCTGAGAGAGTCTAGAATCTTTTGAAGGTTTTGATCCTTTTGGGGTAGATGACCATAATCCTGAATAGCACATTATATTGGGAGTCAGAGCAGAGCTAAGTCTGTAGTTTCTTATTTATTTATTTAATTTATTTTTCGACTGCTTTGGGTCTTCGTTGCTGCGTGCAGGCTTTTTCTAGTTACGGTGAGTGGGAACTACTCTTAGTTGTGGTGCGCAGCCTTCTCATTGCGGTGGCTTCTCTTGTTGTGGAGCACGGGCTCTAGGTGCGCGAGCTTCAGTAGTTGTGGCTTGTGGGCTCAGTAGTTGTGGTTTGTGGGCTCTAGAGAACAGGCTCAGTAGTTGTGGCACATGGGCTTAGTTGCTCCGCAGCATATGGGATCTTCTGGGACCAGGGCTCAAACCCGTGTCCCCTGCATTGGCAGGCAGATTCTTAACCACTGTGCCACTAGGGAAATCCCTGTAGATTCTTCAAAGCACAAGAATTCCGCTCTGAAGGAAATATTCAGACCATGGGAGAGTGAGTTTTGATCCCTGACTATATCATTTATTAGCTTTGGAGCAGTGAGAAGTAGAGAAGAATTGTGAAAGCTATTTAGCTAAACTTATAGGTACTTTAGAACTGTACTCATGAAGAACAGTGGAATCACAGGGAGAAGAAATGACTGTGTCCATGAACCAGTTCTTTTCCTTGGCTTTAGGGTTATAGAAGATGGAAGGAAACTAGTTTTTATTCTTGAAGCAGCTTCCAGTTTTAGTGATACAAGGAGTCTAATAGGAAGTTGTTGCTTAGAGATGTACTCTGGTACATTTGATGCACTATGAGAGAAATAGAGAAGGCAAAAACATTTCCAGCCTTTCAGGAACTCAGTCTGAATATGGATATGTGAGTGGTAGGATACACACATAAGTGAAAAATGATAGGAAAATGGGTACGGAGAAGAAATGCCTTAAAAAACTTATTAATAATTTATATAGGATTAAATATGTGTGTGTGTGTGTGTGTGTGTGTGTGTGTGTGTGTGTGTGTGTGTGTGTGTGTACACACATTAGAGGAATAGCTAAAGTGAATAGAATGGCCAGGCCTGAGTGAGAATAGTCAGCAAAAACTTCAAAGAGTAAGGAAGCCATGTTGTGTTTTATTAAAAATAACAGTTGGTTATTGCAGAAAAACTTGTAAAATATAGGAAGTATAGGGAAGAAAAAATTGACCTGTGATGCCATGCTTTTATTCAGAGGATTAGAAGGAAAGAAAGAATATAATTTGGAAGAAAGGAATAAGAATTTTCCAAATAGGATGGTCTATATGAAAGTACATATAGCACAGATATTATATATATGTACAATGAAATAGCTAATCAATTTGTTCTAACAGAACACATACAGATATTGATTCAACAAACTCCAGTAATGCACATTTTTAAGCTAACCAGGTTCTTTGTGCTATTAGAAATGTAAAGAGTGGTAAGAGATAGTCACTGGTAGAAACAGACATGTAAGTAAATCAATCATAATATAAACACAGAATCAGTTCTGTATCAGAAAGAGGTGCAGTAATAAGTCCTGTAGAAGTGCAAATATGGAAAGCAAAGAATAGGGGAATAGGATTGTAAGTATTGGAAATAACTTGATCAAAAGCATAGTGAGAATAATCAGGTTATTCAAGGAAAATCAGGTAGTTTAGCGTGCCTTGGGAGATGGTAATAGGAAAGTAGGCTGGGACCTGATGATGGAATATTTAGGTGTTATGATAAATAATTTAGATTTTAATTTTTAGGCAATGGGGAGCTATAAAAAATGTGGTAGCATTTTAAGGATGGATTGGAGACAGTGAAAGCAGGAAGACCATTTGTCTTGGCATGAGATGACTAGGACAGTGACGTTGTATTTGAAAATAAAATTGATAAAACTGAGTTATCCCTGGAGTGTGAGAAAAAGGAGTTAAGAGTTTTGAGGCCTGTATCCTGAGAGGAAGGGAATACTGTTAATCAAGAAAGGGAATGCTAGAAGAGCACAGAGGATTGTTTTCGGAGGGGGAAATGATAGGTTTTGAGATGTTGAAATTGAATTGCTGGTAAAATGTCTATTTGGAGATGCTTAATAGATTTTAGGCAAGTCTAGGCATATGGATTTGGGTATCATTTCTTAGTGGAGGAGTGGATATGATTTCTCAGGGAGAGAGTATGGGATAGAGAAGAGAACTTAGGATAGAACCTTGGAAATGCCTACACTTGAGACTTGAATAAAGGAAAGGGAACCTGAAGCAGAGAAGGTACATTTGGAAAGGAAGTATAAGTTGGAGTGCAGTGTCATAGAAGCTAGGGAGAAATAAAATTTAAAGGGTAAAGTGAACAACACTATCAGATATGCAGTGACATTGAGTAAAATGATATGGACTCAGGAAAGGGGACTTGAGTTGGCATTTAGGAATACATTAGTAACCTGAAAAAACATGAATGTAGTGGTTTAGAGTGAAGATTGCAGTGGGTTTGAGAAATAAGTGAAAAGAGAGTAGAGCCAGTGAGTGTAACACTACTCTTAATTTAAGCTTGGCGCTGAAAGATGAATTGGGCGAAGTTGAGGGAAGTTTTGTATAGAATTGAGAAAACTTGATCATGTTTAAGATCTGAGGGGAGGGGCTTCCCTTGTGGCACAGTGTTTAAGAATCCACCTGCCAGTGCAGGGGACACAGGTTTGAGCCCTCGTCCAGGAAGATCCCACATGCGGCGGAGCAACTAAGCCCATGTGCCACAACTACTGAGCCTGCGCTCTAGAGCCCATGACCCACAATGACTGAAGCCTGTGTGCCAAGAGCCCGTGCTCTGCAACAAGAGAAGCCAGCGCAATGAGAAGCCCGCGCACTGCAACGAAGAGTGGCCCCCACTCGCCACAACTAGAGAAAGCCCGCGCACAGCAACCAAGACCCAACGCAGCCAAAAATAAATAAATAAATAAATTTATTTAAAAAAAAAAGATCTGAGGGGAAAGAGAGAGAACACCAATATTTGTAGAGCAAGATCCTAAAAAGAGACCAGAGAGAGTGAGATCTAGAACTCATTTATTTATTTATTTATTTAAAAAATAATTTTTAAAAATTTATTTATTTATTTAATTTATTTATTTTTGGCTGTGTTGGGTCTTCATTGCTGTGCGCGGGCTCTCTCTAGTTGTGGAGAGTGGGGGCCACTTTTCGTTGCGGTGCGCAGGCTTCTTATTGCGGTGGCTTTTCTTGCGGCGGAGCATGGGCTCTAGGCATGGGGGCTTCAGTAGTTGTGGCGAGCGGGCTCTAGAGCGCAGGCTCAGTAGTTGTGGCGCATGGGCTTCGTTGCTCCACGGCATGTGGGAACTTCCCGGACCAGGGCTTGAACCCGTGTCCCCTGCATTGGCAGGTGGATTCTTAACCACTGTGCCACCAGGGAAGCCCAAGAACTCAGTTATTGTTAATGGTAAGCCTTTTTATTCCCTGTCTTGAGTTCTGAGGTAAAGAGGAGGAGATGGATAGTGACATAGACACATTGAGGAAATACCTATTGGAAAAACCTCTCTTGTCCATGAAGGTGGTTACATTTAGGTTGCAAAGCTGTGCCTGTGGATTAGACAGAAGCCAGCAATTACTTATGGAGAGATACATATGGCCTGAAGTGTCTTACTTCTTTCCATGAATAATATTTGGTTTTTCAGAAGAGTTCAGTTTTAACTTGTATTTCTCTTCCTTGGGCAGGAACTGAAACATTTGATCTTGGAGGCAGCAGATGGCTTTCTGTTTATTGTCTCATGTGAGACAGGCCGGGTGGTATATGTCTCTGACTCAGTGACCCCTGTTTTGAACCAGCCGCAGTCTGAATGGTTTGGTAGCACACTCTATGATCAGGTGCACCCAGATGATGTGGACAAACTTCGTGAGCAGCTTTCCACTTCGGAAAATGCCCTGACAGGTATGAGTTAATACGGATGGAAAATGAATAGCAAATTCTTCCTTCTTTTTTTTTCTGAGATAGAAGAGGTGTTTTAACTCTTAAATTTTTTGATTGAATCTGGCAAAACTTTTAGAATTTTCTCCTTCAATGAATATAATCTGTTCTTTTTATCCACATGCAGGTAATATATTTTGTAGCTCATCTTTAGAAAATGTTTCATTAGTGACAATGCTTATAAAAAGTTTACTTTGATCTTAATATTAGTGTAAATACACAGTAAAGACCAAGCCTACAATAACCCCCACCCCCACCCCTCCAGCCATTCCAGAAGAATGAAATTATCCATTTTCTGTCTCATTTGTTGGGTAAATACCTGGTATTTTTTCTACCCAGTTGTGCTTGGCTTTGACTTGGTATTAGGTTCTATGATAGTAGATTTTTATTTTAGAGGGGGATGATTATCAGTGTGTAAGGTGTTTTCTTGGTTTTTTTTTGTATTTATACTATCTTTCTGTCTTGTTTTTGCCCCCACCTCCACACCCCCATTTAATGTTATTCAGTCCTTCTGCCCTAGTTTGGCTGAAGGAAACAAGTCACATCTGCTCCTAAGCGATCTAGAAAAAATTTTAATGTGGAAGCAGATTAAAACTGGTAATTAAAATAAAATCCATTATGGTCATATTAATGTTGGTATTTAGCTTTCATTTATGTTTTTATGGGTTTCATTTTCCTAATTCTTCTTTTTCCCAGAAGTTCCCACTGGTTTCTGTATAATAAAGGGAGGAACAATTTTATCATGAGACAGATGGGTGTTTCTGTAGCATATAAAATTACTTGTTATTAAACCAGTGACATTCACTCCATGTGTGTGTGCGTGCGTGCATACGCACATGCATGTGTGTTTATAAAAATAATCAGACCTAAGGATATAGCCTTGCTCTTGCTTGCCAACTTTACCTACTTCTACTCCTGTCTTGCCTTGCACAAAGTTATTTCCAGTGCTTTGAACTGAAGAGTAAGTAAGATTCACTGATGGGAACAGAGGTGTTTTAGGCTTGAAAAAAATCCATCTCCTACTTGGCTTATTCTCTTATAAGCAAGGAGATTGGAGAGCATGAATAGGCTACTTACTTATCTTTGCCTCCAGTATCTCTCTCTCCCTCTTCCCCACACACAAGAATGTACTCCAGACTGTTCTTCACATCCTTCTTCAGGGCGTATCCTTGATCTGAAGACTGGAACAGTGAAAAAGGAAGGTCAACAGTCTTCCATGAGGATGTGTATGGGCTCAAGGAGATCTTTTATTTGCCGTATGAGGTGAGTGTCAGGATGAGGATTGTGATTTGCCATAGGAAGAATTAAGAGCTGAGGGTTTGATTTCTGGTCAGAGGAGTTAAACTTCTAAATCCAAGATCCAGTTAGATTAAATTTAGCTCTCGAGACCCACGTAAGTTGTAACACAGAATAAAGCGTTAAGGAAACTAACATTTACTGAACTCCTCCTATGCCAAACATTATGATAGGTGCTTTATGTCTGTCATCTCATTTCCCACAACTGCCCAATAGGGTAGAATTCATGGTTACTATTTTGCTGATTAAAAAAAAAAAAAAGACTCAAAGAAATTGACTTCCCAGGATTACATAGATAATGTTTGATACAGGATTTTATTCTAATCCATACTAGTCGGATGCCGATACCTATGTTTTTTCCCAGTATATCACAAGGCAACATCCATGTACTCAGATCATTTCTGCACCCCTCCTTTTTTTGTAGAAATTTAAGACTTTATTATGTCTTTCACTTAATATTTAGCATTAATAAATTATATACTATACATTTTAGGATTCTGAAGAAAGGATAGTGATACTTTTCTTCACAGCTAGAGAAAATACTTCTTAAAGTCACAAAATAAATTCAGGTTGTATAATGGAAATTGACTACATTGTACGAGAGGATGCTTCTTAGAAATGATGAATAGGATATTAAGAAAGGTTTCCTGGGGGAGTTTAAAAATTGAATATTATGTGGCTTAGTGGTTTAGGGTAGTTTCTGGACCCAGACTACTGGATTTATCACTTATCTTCTGAGACCTTGAGCAGATTAAATGACTGCTTTGTGTTTGCTTTTTTAAAAAATATTTATTTATTTATTTATTTATTTTTGGCTGGATCGGGTCGTAGTTGCAGCGCATGGGCTCTTTGTTGCAGTGCATGGGCTTCTCTCTATTTGTGGTGTGCAGGCTCCAGAGCACATGGACTCAGTAGTTGTGACGTGTGGGCTCTCTGGTTGTGGTGCGCGGGCTCCAGAGCGGGTGGTCTCAGTAGTTGTGGCTCACAGGCTTAGTTGCTCCACAGCATCTGGGATCTTAGTTCCCTGACGAGGGATCGAACCTGCCTCTCCTGCATTGGAAGGCAGATTCTTAACCACTGGACCATGAGGGAGCGTCCCCCTGCTTTGTGTTTTTATTTCTTCATCTAATATAGGGAGTTATATCAACCTCATAAAGTTGTTATAAGGATTAGATGAATAAATATATGTAAAGATGCTTAAAATAGTGCATGACACATGTAAAATTCTGTGTAAGTTTTATTTATTATTAAAGAAGTGAAAGAAAGAAAGTAGAGGATGGGAGAGAGTGTTGCAACATGTGGACATGGCTAATGCAAAGACATAGGCAGGAACAAGATAAATAATAACGAAATGTAGCAAATAGATTGTGTTGCAGCATAGTGCTGGAGTCAACAAACCACAACTCTTTGTTTGTAAATAAATCTTTATTAGAACATAGCCATGCCCATTTGTTCGCATACTGTCTGTAGCTGCTTTTGTGCTATAATAGCAGAATTGACTAGTTGCAACAGATTGTATGGCCCACAAAGCTGAAAATATTTACTGTCTGGTCATTTACAGAAAAAGTATACTAACCCCTGATGTAGAGAATCTCTGCATTTGCAGAGCATGTAGAACATTTTGACTTAAAATTCTGGGACAGTTACAAGTTTTAGAAATACCAAACCTGACTTCTTTATCCTTCCTTGTTAGGGGCATTGTTACCAATTTTCTGTGTCAAGTTGTATTCAGAACCTGTTATCTGGCTGTTAACTGATGGAAGCTTCTTTGATAGTGTAGTGCAACTTTTTTTTTAATTTATTTTTTTATTGAAGTATAGTTGAATTATAGTGTTGTGTTAATTACTGCTGTGCAGCAAAGTGACTCAGTTATACATATATATTTTCATATTCTTTTCCATTATAGTTTATCACAGGATATTGAATATAGTTCCCTGTGCTATACAGTAGGACCTTGTTGTTTATCCATTCTACATATACCAGTTTGCATCTGCTAATCCCAGACTCCCAATCCAGTCCTCTCCTTCCTCCCTCTCCCTTGGCAACCTCCAGTCTGTTCTCTATGCCCCTGATTCTGTTTCTGTTTCATAGATAGGTTCATTTGTGTCATATTTTAGATTCCACATATAGGTGATATCATATGGTATTTGTCCTTCTCCTTCTGTTTTACTTCACTTAATATAATGATCTCTAGTTGCATCCATGTTGCTGCAAATGGCATTTCATTCTTTTTTGTGGCTGCATAGTATTCCATTGTATATATGTATCACATCTTCTTTATCCATTCTTCTTTCAGTGGACATTTAGGTTGTTTCCATGTCTTGGCTATCGTGAAAAGTGCTGCTGTGAATGTAGGGGTGCATGTATAATACCTTTTTTTTTTTTTTTTTTTTTTGGTAGTACGCGGGCCTCTCACTGTTGTGGCCTCTCCCGTTGCGGAGCACAGGCTCCAGACACGCAGGCTCAGCGGCCGTGGCTCACGGGCCCAGCCGCTCCACGGCATGTGGGATCTTCCCGGACCAGGGCACAATCCCGTGTCCCCTGCATCGGCAGGCGGACTCTGAACCACTGCGCCACCAGGGAAGCCCTATAATACCTTTTTTTTTTTTTTGTGGTACGCAGGCCTCTCACCATTGTGGCCTCTCCCATTGTGGAGCACAGGCCCCGGACGCGCAGGCTCAGTGGCCATGGCTCACGGGCCCAGCTGCTCCGTGGCATGTGGGATCCTCCCGGACTGGGGCACGAACCCGTGTCCCCTGCATCGGCAGGTGGACTCTCAACCACTGCGCCACCAGGGAAGCCCTATAATACCTTTCTGAATTATAGTTTTGTCTGGGTATATTCCCAGGAGTGGGATTGCTAGATCATATGGTAATTCTATTTTTAGTTTTCTGAGGAACCTCCATACTGTTTTCCACAGTGGCTGCACCAACTTACATTCCCACCAACAGTGTCAGAGGGTTCCCTTTTCTCCATACCCTCTCCAGCATTTGTTATTTGTAGACATTTTAATGATGGCCATTCTGACTGGCATGAAGTGGTACCTCATTGTAGTTTTGATTTGCATTTCTCTAATAATTAGCGATGTTGAGCATCTTTTCATGTGCCTTTTGGCCATCTGTATTTCTTCTTTGGAGAAATGTCTCTTTAAGTCTTCTGCCCATTTTTCCATTGAGTTGTTTGTTTTTCTGTTGAGTTGTATGAATGATAGTGCAACTTAATTGCTTTTAATCTCTCTGTTCATTGAAACAGGTGTGGCAGTAGCTCTGTGGACCCAGTCTCCATGAATAGACTGAGCTTTGTAAGAAACAGATGCAGGTGAGATCCTAAGCTGTAAAAATAAAAACCCAAAGGGATGGCCAAGTACCTTTAGAGATCGTCACATTTTCAACTATTTTACTATTGTACTTCCTTCAGCAGCCCTCACCCTCATCCCTCACTTCCCAGTTACTTTTTTTCTGGCAATATTTTCCTGAACTTCTAAATCTTTTGCTCATCCTGTTTAAGGAAGTTACGCTACCACTTTACCTATTGATACTTTCTTCCTGCTGCAGTACCTTTCAGTTGCTTTACTTTGGCAAAGGTAAAATATATGCTGGTCACTTTTGGGTGGGAAAGGTCCAAGTACAGTCGTCCTGTTTTATAAACACCCAAGAGCCTAAAGTTAAAGGTACTAAGCCAGCATTGCCTTTTAAATGTTACTGGGTAGGGTTTTCTCCTCACACCTGTAATTTTTCTAGGAATGGACTTGGCTCTGTGAAGGATGGGGAACCTCATTTCGTGGTGGTCCACTGCACAGGCTATATCAAGGCCTGGCCCCCAGCAGGTAGGAAAGTTGAATAGTGACTTCTTCCTGGGTGCAGCAAGTTCCTCACAGAGTCCAAGAAAGTTAGCTAATATTTATCATGTACCTGTAGTATATGAAATGTACTTTGGTATAAACTGTAATAGGAAAGAAAAAGTGGACTCCTTCCCTTCCTTTATGGATCTTATATTCCAGTTAGGGAGATGGATTACTCAGACTTGAAAATGACTTGGTGATGGCTGTGTCACAGAATGTAGTTTTTAAATGTCCAAATAGTAATGTATACTGAATACCTGTATCTAAGTATTTGTGTGCAAAGAAGCAGTTGACATTGAATGCAGTTGATTTGGAAAGTTTTCTAAAGAAGGAGCAAGACTTGGATGGAGAAGCGGGTAAATGGCTTGATTGTAGTAACTTGTAAAGGGGATATTCTCTGCAAAGACTTTAAATCAGGATGTGAGCGGATTAATTTTACTAGAACTTGAAGTCAAAAAGGGAATGTGAGAAAAGTGGTTGGGGTACAAGGATCAGCCTTTTAACCTGGCTTCTCAGAGTTTCCAAATCGTAGCAATTTTATTACCTCCCTGCTGGCTAGGTGTGCCTGGGAAGTGGGGGTTTTAGGGAGATAGAAACTAAGAGAGGCAAGGTGGTGTATTTTGGTAAAGGTTAAACTTTGGATTTGGAAAAACCTGGGTTTGATTCTGGCATTGTTATTTATTAGTGGTATAACTTAGGGTAAGTTGCTTGACTTGTATGGGAAAAAAAACCCCTCAATTTTCTCATCTATAATTTAGAGATAATATAACCCATATAGAGTTATTGTGAGGATTAGATTTAATGTAAGGAAAGCACCCAGCCTAGTGCCTGGCATATGGTAGGCACCCAATAAATGGTAGTTAAATGTAATTAAGAAAAATTAATTTTAAGTCATAATGAAGTTTGAACTTTTTAGTTTATATACTGTATAAACCATGCGTTTGAGATACACATGATCTTTTATACTTCTATGTAGCTCTCAAAGAAATACTATTTTTCTTGGTAAAAAGAAGAAAAATATGCAAAGAGTAGGGGGAAAGTGCATCCTTCTTCCCTTTCCACATAAACATTGAAACACTAGCTTGTCTCTTTTCCAAAGTACATAAATAACTATTGGTGTTTGGTTTAATCTCATTTTTGGTTGTTTGCTTACTTTGAAAGTCACAGGTTAGGCAAGACATCCGTTCTCTGCCTGTGATATGGTCACAGAGTAAATGGCTGTGTTCATATGTATTTGGTTTGGCCAGCATAGTCTTTTAGAATACTTTGAGTGGGACTGTACTCTGCAGTTTATTATAATTAATGTGAGTATAATATATGAATTAATATATATAAAAGTACTTAAAATAGTACCTGATATATATGGTAAGTTCTTTGGGTTGTTTACCTTTATTTCTTATTTTCAGCAGTCTGTATTGTTTCATACTTAGTCTCTTCATACCTACATGTGTTTTAAATCTTTACATATCTGACTTTTGAAGGCAATTGAGTTTGAGATACCTGTTAAACCTTTTAACTTCACCTTCCTGAAGGTGTCTCCCTCCCAGATGATGACCCAGAGGCTGGCCAGGGGAGCAAGTTTTGCCTGGTGGCTATTGGCAGACTACAGGCAAGTATGAATTTTTCACATCTATATCACCCATTTTCAGTGGGAGAAAATCTCCTTCAGGATGTGTTCATGTTATTTTTTCTTTTACTCTCTGAATACAAATGAAGAATTCTGAAAAACTCCGAACATTTTGAGGAATATGGTATTCATAGTTAACATTGCTTCTCTTGGATTTAGCAGAAGCTGAAGAGAGTGAGAGAGAGAGATCTTTTCCTCTTTCATACTTTTAGCTTTGCAATGCTGAATTTTCTATTTCCAACTAATTTCTTTTGCTCCTATACAATAGAAGAGAGATCTTTTCATTTTTCATTACATGACTAACAGTAGAGAATTGGAATTATTTTGATTCTCCTTATAAAAACAGATGTTTCTTGGTTACTTGGGAGTATAATTTTCCAATCTGAATAGTGAATACCACCTAGCTAAATGAAAGTAAGTGGGTTTTAGGTTGAATGAATTATTACCTTTCTTTACAAAGTTCGTGAAGAGTACACGTGTAGGAGTGGAGCTAGGCCTCATGCCCTATCTGTGATGATCACTTTTTCCTTTTTGGATGGGTTGTGAAAGTTTAGAAATTCCTAAAATTGGAAACCTGATGGGAAATACATCTGTAAAGAATGGTGTCATTTTATCTCATTTTTATCTCTTTTCTTTCAGGTAACTAGTTCTCCCAACTGTACAGACATGAGTAATGTTTGTCAGCCAACGGAGTTCATCTCTCGACACAATATTGAGGGAATCTTCACTTTTGTGGATCATCGCTGTGTGGCTACCGTTGGCTACCAACCACAGGTGAGGAGCTGGAGCTATTACACCACTGATATTTAGGCTTCTGTTTTCCCTTTGCTATGCTGAGATTATTCAATCGTATAATTCCAGAGATAACCAAAACATGTCAGCCCCAACTCAGAAAAAGAGATGATCCTAGTCTGTTGATAGCTAAATATAATTTCAGCTTCCTACCAAGGTTGTCTGATCTAGAAAAATATGGCTTGTGAAACCAGGCTGGAGCAGCAGGTACAGGTAATGTATTTCTTTTTTGTTAGTGATATTAATACAGATGATGATGCAAAAACTAGTTATAATGATTTGGCCACCTTTAGATAATTCATATAATCATCTAGTTGCATAGTAACCCATAAAGTATGCAAATTTAGCACCAGTTATTATGATTTATTTAGATATCTCATTCAGCAGACCAGGTAACTATGTCTGAATTGAGAAACAAGTCATTACATAAACTTTCAAAATTATAGCTGCCAGGAGGGACTTCTGTAAAGAGGTTGGTGCAAAAGAGATCTTGAAAAAGGAGAACAAAGTCAGAGAGCATTTACAGTACCTGATGCAACACCTGTTGTAAAGCTGTTGTTACCAACACAGCGTGGTGTTGGTGTAGGAATAGTTACATAGATCAGTAGATAAGAATCGAGTCTGTTCTCATATTTATGGTCAACTGATTTTCAACAAAGATGCCGAGACAATTCAAGGGGAAAAGAAGCTTTTCCAATAGATGGTGACGGAACAATTGTATACTCATAGGCAAAACAAAACAGAAAGAACTTAGACTCTTACCTCACACCGTACACAGAAATCAACTCGAAGATATAAATGTGTAAGTGCCAAAGTTTTATAAAACATCTAGAAGAAAATAGGATAAAATCTTTGTGATCTTGAGTTAGGCAAAGATTTTTTTTTTGGCCACGTTGTGCAGCTTGCAGGATCTTAATTCCCCCACCAGGGATTGAACCAGGGCCACAGCAGTGAAAGTGCCGAGTTCTAATGACTGGACTGCCAGGGAATTCCCTAGGCAAAGATTTTCTATATGACCCTAAAAGCATGATTCACAAAAGAAAAAATTTGGTAAGTTGGGTTTCATAAAAGTTAAAATTTGCCCTCTTAAAAGGGCATCATTAAGAAAGTGAAAAGACCAGCCACAAATTGGGGGAAAATATTTGTAAATCATATATGTGAAAAAGGATTTGTATCCAGAATAAAGAACTCTCAGAACTCATTAAGACAACCAGCCAGTAAAAAAGGGGCACAAGATTTGAATAGACATTTCACCAGAGAAGCAATATGAATGGCATATAAATAGTTGCTTGTCATTAGGAAAGTACAGATTAAAGCCACAATGAGATACCACTATATGCCCATTAGAATGGCTGTCATCAAAAAGTACTGGCAGGAACATGGAGAAACAGAACCTTCATACATTGTTAGTAGATAAGTAAAATGGTATAACTACTTCGGAAAACCATTTTGGCAGTTTCTTTAAAAGTTAAACATACACTTACCCTACAAATTAGCAATTCCACTCCTAAGTATTTACCCAAGAGAAATGAAAACATATGTTCACACAAAGATTTATACACAGATGTTCATATCTGTATTATTCATAATAGCCAAAAAGTGGAATGTCCATTAACTAGTGAATGGATACACACTGTGTTATATCCATGTTAGAATATTTATGAGCAATAGAAGGGATATACTATTGATACATGGAACAACATAGATGAACTTCAAAAATATTGTGTTAAATGAAGGCAGCCAGACACAGAAGACTACCTATTGTATGATTCCATTTGTATAGAAAAGGCAAAACTGAAGAAGCAGAAGCAGATCAGTGGTTGGCCAAAGGATTAGGAGCAGGGATTGACTACAAACGGGCAGAAGGGCACTTTTGGGTGCAGTGGACGTGTTCTAAAACTGAATTGTGGTAATGGTTGTACAACTGTATAAATTTATTATAGGTCATCAAATTAGAATTATAAAATTCATTTAGAATGAGTGAGTTTATCTAAATTATACCTCAAATCTGTAAAAAATTCAGTTAAAATAAATGTACAATATCCTGAAAAAGAAGAATGCTCTAGAGGTCAGTTGTTTAGCAGATTCCATCTTTTTTTGTTTGTCTTTTTTTTTCCCCCCTCCACTCTTATCCATAATCTTAGGATAAAAGCAAGAGAAATGAAATCCAAGTCTCCTACTAATGGCCCAGGAAAGTTAGATGATCATAAAAGTGTCAATTTTACTCTTCTTTTTCTCTTTTAGGAACTCTTAGGAAAGAATATTGTAGAATTCTGTCATCCTGAAGACCAGCAGCTTCTAAGAGACAGCTTCCAACAGGTAACTTTTTTTCCTGGTTTGGATTGGAATAGTATTTTAATCTAATATCTATTATTACATTCATTCCACAAATATTTATTGACTGCTGATTAACCTAGTACTGTGGCAGGCCCTGCAGTTTTATGTACTTTAGTACTTAACCTGTATTTTTAAGAAACAGAAAAGGACCAGTACTTTGAAACTATGGATAATGTTCAAGGTATTTTTGTTTGGCTTTGGCTACTCAGTGTCTTATATCCAAGAGGCTGTCTTTAAAATATTTAAAATAGTCTACACTTCACTGAACAGTGGATAGTAGTTGAAAAATTCATTTCATGGTTCTTTTATAGATAAGTGAAAGTTGGCTCTTAATTGTAAGCAAACTCTTAATTTCAGGCCCTAGATCCTGAAAACATCTGGCGAATTTAATTTCAGGACAGGCTTGGCTTTAGATAGTAGCTCTTACTTTATATTAGACTGGTTAGTTTTCCTCTTTAAACCTCAATAGTGTTTTTACTGATACAATGGGTATATAAGATAAAGCATTTAAAGCACAAAGGCCAACTTCTAGAGGAAATCAGACAATGGCAGTAAAAAGTCTCTCTGTCTCTAATTCCTCAGCATCACCTGTTCCATCCACTCACATTCCATGTACGGGTAGTCTTTTTTTTTTTTTTTTTTGGTAGTGTAGTCTTAGAAAAGCTATTCTGACTTCTGTTGAAACCATTCAAAGCTAAGGACGTGGACTTCTGGCAGTGCGAGATGTTGTACAGTATATTTTAAATCCATGAAATTCATAATTCTCACGCTTAGGGCCACAGAGTATCACTTGATCATTTCTAGAAAAATGTTTATTCCAAAGCAATGGGCCATATATACACTCTAATCTCATGGTTTTTATTCTGACATCAGTTGCTGCTATGATACTAGAGTACAGAAGCAAAGGTACTTTTTAATGTGCAGACTAGTTGCTGCTTACTAGTTGCTGATATCTAGATTTTGATGTTTCTTATGTCTAGATGGATTTGTATTTCTTTTTGCTTTTCAGTACATAAATTTAGTTGCTATTTCTAGTGAAGGTTGTTTTTCTCTTTTTTTTTTTTCTTCCCATTTTGGTTCTTGTCATGCTTTGTTTCACATTTGATTTTTTAAAATTTTATTTATGTATTTTAAATGTGCCATTTTATTATTGCTAAGTGAAGTATGTCCCGTTTTCTGTTATAATTATTTCTCAGTCAGATTGTAATGTCAGCGGTTACTGCCACACTCTTGTCAACTTAAACACAAATGTTATCACTTAACTTTTTCTTAAAAAGCAATTTAAAGTGTAGGTATTTTGAATTACTGGGCTTATACTTCATTGGCATGAATATGTACAGTAATAATCAGGTTTCAAATCCAGTATTTAGTTTGTATACAAATGTAATGATGTTCGTTGTGCATATATTATACAGTGAGCGCATGTATTAAAGACTACTTATTATTGTTTAAATGTAGATGTTCATATCTCATTTCTTTTTTATAATGTTAAATAAATGTTGTTCTTAAAAAAAGAAAAAATACATAGCCTAGTGCTTGACATATAGTAAGTACCAAATAAATGTTAGCTGCTAATATTATTTTTTTACTGTTAAGGAGGGGATTCAAAAGATTATTTTCTGTTCTTTGAGATTAGAAACTAAAATGATCTAAAATTGCTTTCTTTTAAAAAATAAAAGCAAAACAAAACTAAAGCCAACTTAGTTTTATTTATAGAAGCCTTCATGGGTGCTATGACAACAAATTCTCAGGCTTGGCAGAAAGAGCTAGGATTGAGGGGCAACATATAAGCTATGTTCAGTGTCATTAAACTTATAAACTCCTAGTAAATTTGCTAGATCAGTGTATCTTTAAGGGACTTTCTAAAGGAAGTGGGGAAAGGTAGTCTTTTCTCTCCTGGAATAATTGTTACTCCTGTTTGATATTGACAAGAGTGGTTAGATAGCTTGGGACTCTGAGAAGAAACATGATAAATATACCTCCTTATTGTTTAGTCACTTATTTTTACTCCCCAAAACAACAAAATGTTGTTTTGCTAGTAACATTGCAAGAGACTGTTACTTCAAGGACAGTGACACAAGGATCTTAAGGTTGTAAATGTCTAAAGAAAATTTTTGTGGGTTTCAACTGATAGCATGAAAACTTTTTCAGGTGGTGAAGTTAAAAGGCCAGGTGCTATCTGTCATGTTCCGGTTTCGGTCTAAGAACCGAGAATGGCTCTGGATGAGAACCAGCTCTTTTACTTTCCAGAACCCTTACTCAGATGAAATTGAGTACATCATCTGTACCAACACCAATGTGAAGTATGTACCATAAAGACCTTTTCCAATGTTGGGATTTCTCACGGGCCAAGTCTGCTTAGCCTTATCAGGTTACCTCCTCTTCTACTTTTCTAGTAGTAAACACCATTATTTCTTCATCTTCCAACTTCTTAGAATTTGGGGTAGTTCATCCAGGTAGAGTAAAATTTTTTTTAATTTAATTTTTTACTAGAGTATAGTTGACTTATACAGGTAGAGTAAAATTTTAACAAACAGTAGCTTAGAGACTAGATTCTGAAATGTGAAGGGTTTGGTCAGTTGACCTTTGAACAACATGAATTTGAACTGTGTGGGTCCACTTATATGCAGATTTTTTTCAGTAGTAAATGCTACAGTACTACGTGAGCTGCATATACGGAGGGCCGACTATAAGTTATACTCAGATTTTCGACTGCTCAGAGCGTCGGTTCCCCTAACCCCCGTGTTATTCAAGGGTCAACTGTATTTCAACTTTATGTTTCAACCCTTTTTAGAAAGGATTTTTTGTTGTTGTTGTTGTTTTTGTTTTGTTTTGCGGTACGAGGGCCTCTCACTGTTGTGGCCTCTCCCGTTGCGGAGCACAGGCTCCGGATGCGCAGGCTCAGCGGCCATGGCTCACGGGCCCAGCAGCTCCGCGGCATGTGGGATCTTCCCGGACCAGGGCACGAACCCGCGTCCCCTGCATTGGCAGGCGGACTCTCAACCACTGTGCCACCAGGGAAGCCCAGGATTTTGTTTTTTATACACCAGTTTATTACTCTAGTCTGACAGGAATTTTTTCTAGAGCAGGTATCTGCAAACTTTCTGTAAAAGACCAGATACTAAATATTTTAGCATTGTGGGGCATACAGTCTCTATTGCAGCTTCTCAATTCTGCTGTTACAGCACGAAAACAATTCCAGACAAATGAAATGGATAAAGATGGCTGTGTTCCAGTAAACTTTTATTTACAAAAGCAGGCAACGGACTGGATTTGGCCCACGGACCATAGTTTGCTTTAGAGCATAGCTATATTCACTCTTTTGTTAGCTTCTGTTTCTCTGTTCCTTGATTCTTTTCTCTTTGAAATTTCTCAGCTTTGTAAGAAACAATTTTATTAAAATAGATTTCATATACCGTACAGTTTACTCATTTAAAGTGTACAGTTTCTTAAGTATGTCACAGGGTTGTGCAAGTATTACCACACACACACAAAAACTATTACCTCCAAAGAAATCCTGTACTAATTAACAGTCATCCTCCCCAAGCCGTATGTAACAACTATTCTATTCTGTGTCTCTATAAATTTGTCTGTTCTTATAAATGGAAACATATAATATATGGTTCTTTTGTGACTGGCCTCTTTCACTTAGTATAATATTTTAAGGATCATCCATGTTGTAGCATGTATCTGTACTTCATTTCTTTTTATTGCCAAATAATATTGCTTTGTATTGGTATACCACATTTTGTTTATCCACTCGTCAGTTGATGGATATTGAGTTGTTTACACTTTCTGGCTACTAAGACTGCTGCTATGAACATTTGTTTACTAGTTTTTGTGTGGATATGTTTTTATTCTCTTTGGTATATACCTAGGAGTAGAATTGCTGGGTCTCATGGTGACTCTATGTTTAATCTTTTGAGGAACTCCCAAACTGTTTTCCAAAGCTGCTGTACCATTTTACATTCTCATCAGCAATGTATGAGGGTTCCAGCTTCTCCATATTCTTGCTGTCTTTTTTTATTGTACCCATCCTAGTGGGTGTCGGTTGTCAAGGTACTTCTTTTCCATTTAATTTATCTGTGTAGAATTGGCCTTAAACCCACGTGTGAAGATCTGATTATGAATAATTAGCAAGTGTGAATAATATCGGTGACAACATTGAGTCTCTGTCCTCCAATTCAACTTTTAGGGCTTGTAAAGTTTAGTTCTTTGCTAATTAATTTTAGTATAACTGAGTGGATTCAGTTAGAAATTTTCATTAACTTAGGACTCAGGTCATTGTAGTTTTTTGGGGTTTTGATTTTGTATCTTTATATTACAGAACAACAACTGTTTTGTATTTCTGTTTTGCTTAAGTTTTGAAATGTGTTAAGTCTTTTTAAGAAGTTGTTTCTGGAAATAATGGCTTTCCCCATTTTTGCATACTACAGTTTTTCCCCCTACAGTAAGTTTTAGTTGATTCTTAATATTTTATTTTGTAATAAATACTCTTTGTAGAAAATTCGGAAGGTATTGAAAATAGTAAAGAGAAGGAAAAAAATTCTCACTATCCAGAAATAGTCTTTGTTAATGTTTCATTGTGTACTTTCAGTTTTTTACTTATGCTTTTTTTAAAACACAATATATGGATATACAACATATACATACACACATCCACAACGACTAGGTATTGAATACCTGGAAGGAGTTAGAGCCCAAACAGGATGAACTCTTGTTCCATAGGACATAGTTTCTATTTGTACCATGTTTTCTGTAGTGTGAATATTTGCTGAATCTGAAGTTACAGGTTATCATAGGATTGGACTTGAAAGGGGAATTGATCAGTGATTACCCCATGTACAGGTGAATCTATGATGTCTTATGTACAAACAGAGTCAGATACTTTTTTTTTCTTTGTTCTCTCTACTCTTCATTTTCCTAGGAACTCTAGCCAGGAACCACGGCCTACACTGCCCAACACAATCCAGAGGCCACAGCTAGGTCCCACAGCTAATTTATCCCTGGAGATGGGCTCAGGGCAGCTGGCACCCAGGTGAGAAATGGTCGGAGAATCATTTATTAAGCAGTGACTAGCCTGGGGTGGTGGCCGTATACAGTCCCACTTTTTTGTTTATTTGTTTGTTTTAAGCCCTTTCCCCAGATTCTTTTTAAAAATCTCTTTTCCCGTTTCTCTCTTTACTTGCCTTTAACATATAGGCAGCAGCAACAGCAAACAGAATTGGATGTGGTACAAGGAAGAGATGGACTAGCCAGCTACAATCATTCCCAGGTTAGTGTGTCTTCTTTGAAGGATGGTGAGCATTTCCTTAAGAAGTATCCCTGAGAGCCAGTTAGAGTATATTTGTATCTTTACATGAATTTTAGGGTTATTGAGTTGTCATGTTAAACCTTCTTCGTTATTTTTATCATTGTATTTCCACAGGTTTCTGTTCAGCCTGTGACAACCACAGGGCCAGAACACAGCAAGCCCCTCGAGAAGTCAGAGGGTCTATTTGCCCAAGATAGAGATCCAAGATTTTCAGAAATCTACTCCAACATCAATACGGGTATGTTTCTTCCTTATTCTCATTTTAAATTCTCATTTTCATCACTTACTGATGGGCCTACAATTGCCCAATCAGTAGTCTCCCAGTATATTTCCATTTAATCCTAATACCTCGTGAGTAAATAGGAACTTGCTGAACTAATATACTACAGCCCCTTGACTGGCCCTCCCCCAACTCCTTTTGGTCCACAGATCAGAGTAAAGGCATCTCCTCCAGCACTGTCCCTGCCACCCAACAGTTATTCTCCCAGGGCAACACATTCCCTCCTACCTCCCGGCCGGCAGAGAGTTTCAGGTGAGCCCCACATGTGTGTGCTACTTTACATGGCAACTGAGGGATTCAGTTACTGAATCCAAGTTTTATTCTTCCCTAACTTTCTCTGGTTATTTCAGACAAAGCAGTGGAACTTGTAGGCCTAGGATGAGACAAGCTTGTTTTTCTTCCTCCTTTTTCTTTGCACCTGTCCTGTTGCCATGTTCTAGGTTCCATCTCTGTGTGTCCTGATCAGTGTGTGACTGTCAGTCTTTCTCGTCTTTTCCAAATTCTGTTATCAAGTTTTCCTTAACCCCAGGGAGTCAAGGGAATCTAGGTATAGCACTAGATTGTCCTGTGATTCCTAGATTCTGTGATAAATGCACCTTTTAAATCCTTACCTCACTATGTGTTCACTCCTAGAAATAGTGGTCTGGCCCCTCCTGTAACCATTGTCCAGCCATCAGCTTCTGCAGGGCAGATGTTGGCCCAGATTTCTCGCCACTCCAATCCTACCCAGGGAGCAGCCCCAGCTTGGACCCCTAGCACCCGCCCAGGCTTCTCTGCCCAGGTAAACCTTCTCATCTGTCTGTCCCTTGTGTATTTTTTGTTTGCTTGGTGAGGCTTTTCTACATATGTAAAATTATTGCTGTCTGTCTTAGACATCTTCTTTCCACCCCTCCATCCCCTTCCTTCCAATTTTTATCTTTATTGGGAGCAGCTAGATAATTAAAAACCATAGATAATATAAACATCTCAGAGTCCATGGTTTTCACATTCACCTTAAATCAAAAATTGCTCACAAACATCTTGAACAGGTTTCAGTTTCAGATTTGTTTTGGAGTAAATTCTGAGAAGTTTCCACTTTGGTTAGGGCTACAAAATACAGGGACAAAGGAGAAAATTATCACTAATTTATACACAGTGATATCTATTTACCAAAATAAAAAAAATTGTGTTGAAAAATCCTCATATAGTATATATGTGTATATATAAAATATATGTTAAGGCTAAAGCTAATGTCCTGTCATATGTTGATATATACTTATATTGCTAAGTAATATCTTAAATAAAAAAGCCAAAACCAGAAGTAAGCTCCAGAATTGTTATATGCAGTATGACCTCATTGTATAAAAAATGCATAGGAAAATAAAAACTGGAAGAAGTTATCCAAAAATGTTAACCATGGGTCTTTGGTGGTAGAATTATGGATGATTATTTCCTTTTTATTTTCCTTCCTTTTGAAAATATCCCACAGTACATATGCATTAATATTGTAGTGAGAAAAATGTTTAGTTTCCAAAAACAAAAATCATTAGGAACAAATAAATATGGTACAGACTAAATAAAATGATACAAAGTGTTTTTTCTCTATATATAATGCTATACTATTATTAATACCTCTAGTTTTTGTATAACTTTACAGTTTATAAAATGCTTTCGGTTAAGTCATTTTCGTTTAATTCTCACAACTCTAAATAAACGTGTACTGTTACTAATCCCATAGTTCTTTGTTTTTTGCAATTTATCACGTGTCTAAAAATAGTGTCAAGGGAGATTGGGAGTTAATTGGAAGAAATATACAATGGCATATAAGTAATGAGCTTGGCTCAGAATAATCCAGTGATTGACAGAGGTAACATTAACTCTCACAGGAATGGCCTGTGCAATAATATTAATGTTCCATTTGTTCTCTACCCCTTTCTTTCTTTTAGCAGGTGGCTACCCAGGCTACAGCCAAGACTCGTTCTTCCCAATTTGGTGTAGGCAACTTTCAGACTCCATCCTCCTTCAGCCCCATGTCCCTCCCTGGAGCTTCCACTGCATCACCTGGTGCCGCTGCCTACCCAAGTCTCACCAATCGTGGATCCAACTTTGGTGAGTTCAGACTAGAAGGAGAAATATCACACCACTAAAGTGAAAGGATTTTGGGCTTCCCTGGTGGCGCAGTGGTTAAGAGTCCCCCTGCCAATGCAGGGGACACGGGTTCCAGCCCTGGTCTGGGAAGATCCCACGTACCGCGGAGCAACTAAGCCTGTGCACCACAACTGCTGAGCCTGCGCTCTAGAGCCCAGGAGCCACAACTACTGAGCCCACGTGCCACAACTACTGAAACCTGCGTGCCTAGAGCCCGCAAGCCACAACTATTGAGCCCGCGTGCTTAGAGCCTGTGCTTTACAGCAAAGAGAAGCCACTGCAATGAGAAGCCCGCGCACCACAAGGAAGAGTAGCCCCCGCTCGTCGCAACTGGAGAAAGCCCGCATGCAGCAATGAAGACCCAGTGCAGCCAAAAATAAATAAATAAAATAAATAAATTTATTTTAAAAAAAAGAGAGAGAAAGAATTTCGTAGTTAAAATTGCTTGCTTTTGTCACGGCTGTACTGACCTAACAAGGTGACAGTCCATTTGGAATATAAAACATACCCACATGAAAAAGACTTTAGCACATATAACAGAAAGCATGTAAAGTATTATAAATTTAATAATATGCAAGTATAGCGTGAATGAGCAAAGGACTCTTTGGAAAGGGTACCTAGAGAAGAAAAATGAATCTGAGACCAGGGTTTGAAATAGAAGAGGCATTGATTTGCAGAAAGAAGGGCAGAAAGTGTCTAGGTAAAATTAATTATTTGCATGTGATAATATGCTAGTTTCTCCTCTCTAGTGGAGTTAGCAGATTGAAGTTGTTTATTCTTCCTTGCTGTATTTTTAGCTCCTGAGACTGGACAGACTGCAGGACAATTCCAGACACGGACAGCAGAGGGTGTGGGTGTCTGGCCACAGTGGCAGGGCCAGCAGCCTCATCATCGTTCAAGTTCTAATGAGCAACATGTTCAACAGCCATCAGCACAGCAACCTGGCCAGCCAGAGGTCTTCCAGGTGAGAGGGTGAACAGACTTCAGAAAACCAGAAACTGGGAGAGAGTCAGGGAGGAGAGACAGAGAAGAAAGCATGCATGGATTCAGGTGTTTGATTGAGGTTAGTAAGAAGAGAAGAAAAGAGTCAAGACATATAGGAATAGATGTCATTAATTGAAAAGATTGTGAAGTTAGTGTGCTGCACAGCCTTTGACTAGACCATCGTTAGTGATGTGAAGCGCCATGTGAAGACATCAAAAAAAGTAATTTTGGCCCATTCACGGAGAACCGTGTGCCCGCTTGATAGTACTTTAGGTATAAAAATACTGAATACAGCTCTAAAGGTCTATTTACATACATCCTGAGGGGACTGCAAGAGTCAGTGGAGTAATCTCAGGTGGGACAAAGGAGGAGCTTAGTTTAAAACACAGGTCGAAAGAAGGCAAAAACAAGGTTTTGGTGGAAAACATAATAGGATAAGAGATATTCCATATGTATCCAGAGGGGGGTTTTATGAAATGTGACAAGCAGATTTTTCTCCTTTTGAAAATACTGAGGTCTAGAAAAGAGGGAAAATGTGGAACTGTAGGAGGAAGACAGAGAAGGAACTAGGAAAAAAGGTTGTCATCTAAAGGAGTCATTGTTGCTGGGAGTAAGGAAGGCTAAGAGAACTCAGCACAGCAGAAACTCTCTGGGGCCAGAGATGACAGTTCAGGGGAATGTTGGGAGGCAGCTTGATAAATGTAAAGGATCAAGGTGTGTGACCCAAACTTATTCTTTTTCACTTATTAGGAGATGCTGTCCATGCTGGGAGACCAGAGCAACAGTTACAACAATGAAGAATTTCCTGATCTAACTATGTTTCCCTCCTTTTCAGAATAGAACTATTGGGGTGAGGATAAGGGGTGGGGGAGAAAAAAAAGATCACCATTTGTTTTTAAAAAGCAAATCTTACTATAAACAGAATAAAAGTTCCTCTCCCTTCCCTTCCCTCACCCCTGATGTATACCCCCTTTTCCTTCTGACCTTTCCCTTGTCTTCCTTGTTTCTCTCTGAGAGAACATTTATAGAAGAAATGGAGTTGAATCCTCAAGGCTTTGGGGACCCTTTGAAAAATTGAGACTGGATAAGGTTAAGAATGCCTTTCCTTATGTCTCCTGACCAGAAATTTTGTGCAGAGATGATTTGTGCTGGGTCAAGGGGCAGGTTAGAGAACCTGGCATCCACTATTTGTCTTGGATACTATGGCTTATTTCTGGAAAGAAATTCTCAATAAGGTGGAGGAGGGGAGAAATGTCCTCATGTTTGAGGACCATGAAGCATGGTAGGTATACATGGGGCTTTAGGAAGTGAGCATAGGCTCTTTCTGCTGCCTGTGAGCAATTCCTCTGGAAAGAAACATGAGTAAGGAAGTGTGAGAGAGAGAGGGAAAGAGAGAGAGAGAGAGAGAGAGTGTGTGTGTGTGTGTGTGTGTGTGTGTGCGTGCATGCATGCATGTGCACATGTGTGTGCATGAGCACGTGCACGTTTGTTTCTGTGTTTCTTTCTCCCTGTTGGGGAGTTATGCAAAATTTGTCCCAGATTTTGTCTTTCTTTGTGTTTTTTAAAGAGTCCTAAGGAGTTAACTCTTCCAGGTATTTTCCACTTAGTATTGCAGCCAAAGAGTATTTAAATAAATGTCTTTGCTGCACTTATATCTATGCCCAGCCAATAGGCAACTATAAGCAAGTATATAAAGTCTTCTATTGAAATCGTTGGTTTCTCATCGAACACATATAGTGATAAAGATGGGTCATTCCTGCTTTTGGTGCTCTCACCTTATATGGAAGATCTGTAAACATTACAGAAGTAGGCTGGCAAGATAAACACTTTTAGAAACCCCCTACTTGGCCATAATGATAATGCTGCATTTTTCTGTCAGAATCACATATGATGTGTGTTCTGTAGAGGTTATATATGCATGGAAACTCAACTTCTTGGATTAGCAGTCCCAGTGAAAATCCTCACTGGTGGAGTTTAAACCAAATACCAAGCCTTCTTGCAAAGTAACCTCTTTCATCCCATTCTCAAAGTATCCAGTCTGCAAGAAACGGAGATTTAGGTCTCTTCTGGGCCTATAGTTCTTTCCTCTTTGCTCCCTTTCCAATCTTGAGATTGGATTTTGCTTTATAGTACAAGTGTAATAAATCCATGTGATAGATGGGACCTGGACTCCCATCCCGACAGGGTCACTTAGCAATTAACTATAGCCATATAAACGCGGATACAGGTTACTACTCTCACTCTTTCCCTTCCTCAGGTAACAGCCATGTGTATCGGCCTTTTTTTGTTTATTTGTTTGGCTCAGGCCAGTATCTTAAGTGCAAGATTGAATAAGGAGAAGACATACTAAATGTAGCCATAGGGGACTGAGGAACATAGGTGGCCTTGGAGAGGCTGAAAGAATGTCATTAGGTTTCCCTCCCTTTTGTCTCCAATCTGGTGCCAGGTAGTGGAATGGAAAAGGAGACAGTTTATTTTTTTATTCTATGTGCACACATACAATATACATATATATTTATATCACAGTTTAAGAAACCAAAAAGTTGAGTTTCCAATGAAATCCTTGTTTTTTAATAATCAGCTGTTTTTAAATGTGATCAGGACTATAATATTGTACAGTTATTATAGGGCTTCTGGGGAAGGGGAGGGGCGGGAGAAGATGCTCTGGGGGTTTTGTTTCTGCTTTTCCTTCAGGGTTTTATTTTTGATTTTTTTTTTCCTTGTTGGCCATTTCTGTACTGCTGGCATCTGTGCTGAGCCTTACAGTGGCAAAAATAATGACATGTAGCAAAGATTTTAAAACAAAATATTTTTTCCTTTTGTAAACTTTCCTGTGTTGTGTGATCTTGATTGCGGCTTTATTATTCCTTCCCAGCTCATAAACAACAAACACCCACAACTAGTTGAATCCATAGCTTGCGCTTCAAATATACAAACATAAAAGCACAGTATGTCTATAATTTCAGGAATCAGAAATCATAGGGCTCTGATCACTCAGCGTTCCTTGGTTGTCCTCCTGATCTTGACTCATTCTGAGTAAAATCATCAGAAACATCTGACCATGGGATGGGGGTGGGGGATTGCCCAAGTCCTTGGGAGAGGGGGAAAGTTGGGACTTGAGACCAATAGGGCACTTCTGGATTTAAAGGTATTAAGAATGGGGAAATTTAAACTATTCAGGTCTAGACCTAGTTTCCCTCTAGGACAGTGTGTTTCATTAGGAAATTTAAAAAACCCATAAGCATAAGCCTGTGTTCTTGAGGGTCTATGTGTGTAATCCAGCTAGAAACTGACTCTAGATCCCATGTGTTATCCTTTTTGTTCCCAGGACCCCTTTTCCTCTTCGCACACATCTGTTTATGGAAGAAAATGTTTGGGGTTGTGGTTTAGGGACTGAACTAGATTCTTATGATCTGTCACATGCCTGGATGTTGAGGGAAGCATTTGGTGAAGCTCATATGACTGGACCTGGATTGGGGATTTTAATAATTGAGACAGATAATGTTCATCATCCCACCATCTGAGAGTTGTAGCAACAAAGAAGTCACATGTGAATTTGTCAGTGCTTATGGCATTGATTCAAGTGCTGTCATAAATAACCAGGAATACTGTTTCTGGTTACTTTTAGAACTGGTTTCATCTGGACATTTCTTGATGTATCCTTCCTCAGCAAAACCATGTTAGTCTGGGGAAGATATTCCCCTGCCTGGAAGCAATGACAACTTTTAGTCAACAAGTTTATAAAATACAAATGATTTTGGAGCCTGTGACTTCCCTTACATACTTTTTTCTAGCCTTTTGTGTTCATTTCCTCATCCCTCATGTGAGGGTCAGACATATTGGAAAACTGAGGTTTCAAAGTTGGAGAGATGAATAATAACAGGAAAGGGACTGGAAAGTTGTAATCCCCCAGTGTAATAATATTTTGTCCACGAAAGAGAAGGTAAGCCGCAACTTGGATAATATGTATTGAGGTATTTTTTTTGTCTGCTCTCAAAGGCAGGCAGCCACGTGAAACTAAATACCTAACTCTCTGCCCTGGCACACATGCTCCACATGCGCACACAGAAACGATGCAAATCTGCTGCCTCCTTCCCTCCTCCCTAATCCCCCTCTCTCAGCATTTCTATCTCCACTGCCCTCCCCATCCAAATTTTCCAGCCAACAGCTACAGTTGACTTCCGCAATCCTGGTGGAATAAATCCAGCACCCCTAGTCATCCGCCCACATTATCCACACTTCTCTGCTGAGACGAGCCCAGAGAACAGATCCCCATCAGCAGGTAACATTTTCAACTTCCTAGATCTTTTAGCTTCTCATTCCTTTCAGTTCTCCATTTTAAGGAATATTAGGAACGTAGTGACTTGGGGATCAAAATGAACTTTATAGGCTTTGCAGATGAAAACAGTGATGCCCTTCTTAGGTTATTTCCTGGCTAAGTAAAATTTGCCTGGAAATCTTTAGGACTCCTTTTACGGTTTGTTTGTATGTATACATGGTTATTAGTGAAAGCAAAGAATATAGGGCATCCTTTACCCATCCCTCAAGGAGTGACCTCTCAGGGTTGGTTTTTTTTTTGGGGGGGGGAGGTGCGGGGGTGGGTGGGCAGGTACCAAAAGGGTTAACTTACTAGCAGGGGGGAGGAGTGGCGCAGGGAGGTGGTAGCTCAGTAAGGTCTTCCTACTGTTTGAGACATCCCAAAGCCCTTAACACTCCAGATATTAAACGTCCTCCTGGACATTTTGCCAGTTTGCAAAGATTACACAAAAATGGACTATAAATTCAAAATTTATGCAAGCTGTGTGGCTTGATGCAGATTAACTTGCTCTTAAAATGGAGGACATGAAATTAGCAAGACACTGCGAGAAGTGAATGAAGCTAGAGTAAACTTCTGAAAAGCTGTGTATCTAATAATCACAGAACATTGCTTTTCTTACATTCTTCTAACAAACTTTGGTTCTGAGGCTTTTTGTCCTGTGAGGCAGTCACAGAGGTTTTGTGGGCTTTTTGGTCAGAAAAAAAGAAAAACTTTCCTGCCCACAGCAGCTGGTTGAGATTAGGACAGTTTCCTGCCTGAGGAAGAAGCAGGAAGAGAAAGGAGGAAGAAATGCATAAGGTGACTGAGGAGACAGTAAACATCTCATAGTTTGAGAACAGGAAATGCTGTCAGCTTTTCCCTTGTCCTCTCCTAGCAAGATCAGAAGTATCAGAATTTAGGCAAGGAACAAAAGAATGTCTTGAAGAAATGATCAGGAAGCAAAACTTAGCTGAAAATCTCTCCTTTGTGTATTCTCCGACCCCACTCATCCCACCCTGCACTTACCTTGTCTATCTCCTCCAAGTCTGCTGGGGACACTGGAGCAGACAGGTGTTGTCCCATCCTGATTGTCCATTTTCTATCCCATTGCTGGTTATCTGTGCAAGTGTATGTGTGTGTATGTGCGTGTATATGTGTGTGTATGTGTGTGTGTGTGTGTGTTGAATCTCCCTAGGTCAAAATACTTGTAACCAGATGTATCAGCGTCCCACCCAAACCCAGAACCCTCCTGACTATCACTGTTTTTATCATATGGAAGTCATCCTCAATCTCTGTCTACCTTCCTTATAAAGCCTAGTTTTCCTCTGCCTCGTGGTCCAGAGGAAGGCGTTCTTAACTTCAGATTCATGAACCCCCCAGAATTATTGTGTGTGCATTCATTTTTCTGGTAAGAGGGACTAAAGTGGGTTGAAAATTTTTTTATTAGCTTGTCGTGGGAGTCTATGAGTCCCAAAGGTTAAGAACCACCTGTCTGAGAATATGGTTCCAGCTATTTCCTCATCCCAAGCCAGGTTAGGAACCTCTGGGCAAATAGAAGAGTGTCCCCTAATTATCCCCTTCTCCAGGATGTGGGGACTCAAGGTTCTACTACTGCTGCCTGTGGTGAGCCTTGCTCTGTACCCCGAGGAGATGCTGAACACCCAGTGGGAGCTATGGAAGAAGACCTACAGAAAGCAGTATAACAGCAAGGTGCCTGGGAACCTGGAGGGGAACATGGTGGGAGGGTTGGAACCTGAGACATCTAATCCTAGCTTCCAGACTCCCTTCTTCAACCCCAATACTTTAACCACTACAACCAAGCAAACCTGCCCCTGGTCCCTAACTGTTAACATATACTTTCCATTACTACTCCTCAATTCACCCTCCATCAAGTCCTGTCCTTCCTTTTCTTCATAACTGTCTTATATTTCTCTTTTGGGAAGCCTTCTCAGATTAATGCTATTAATCCGTAAGCAATTATTTTCCTATATGTCTCTCCAGAGCTTTGCATTCTATTATTTGTTTTATATATTTCTTTTGCATGCTCTTAATAATCCCATGGTCAGTTCCCCAACTAGACTGTAAACCCTCTATGACTGTAAATTTAACCTCTTCTAGAAACCTCCACAGTATTATGTAGATAACTTTGTACACAGGACACAGTCTATGCCAATACTGACTATGCTCTGTTTAGGTGGATGAAATCTCTCGGCGTTTAATTTGGGAAAAAAACCTGAAGCATATTTCCATCCATAATCTCGAGGCCTCTCTTGGTGTCCATACATATGAACTGGCCATGAACCATTTGGGGGATATGGTGAGTTGATCCTTAGCTCCTGGTCTACCTTCCCTGTTTGTCTTGGTTCCCTGCTTATGCCTGGCCTCTTTCTTCTTTGTCCCAGACCAGTGAAGAAGTGGTTCAGAAGATGACTGGACTCAAAATACCCCCCTCTCATTCCCGCAGTAATGACACCCTCTATATCCCAGACTGGGAAGGCAGCCCAGACTCTATTGATTATCGGAAGAAGGGATATGTTACTCCTGTCAAAAACCAGGTACCCTCCTTCCTCTTGGGTGTGGGCATGGAAACTGGCATGACCTCTCTGTTCTTCTGCTTCTTTGTTCTTAAGGTAGGAGGGCATCAGAAAAAGAGGGCAAAGAATTAAGTTACCTCTCCCCCTGCTAAGAGAATAAAGTCTATTCTGTTATTTAACTCATCATCTGTTTTTGTAGATTTAGGTTATTTCTGTTTTTTCTTTTCTACAAAGTGTTGCTGTAAGCAGCTGTGTGCATATATTTTTGTGAATAGATACAAATATTTATGCAAAACAAATCCCAAAATTGGAATCAGTAGGTCACAGAATCCTTTCCAAAAAAGTTTGTATGATCTTACATTCTTACCACCATGAGAATGTAAGTTTTCCCACAATCTTAACAAGCTGATTTTATCCACCAGATAAACACTTGATTTAACATTCATTCAACAAACACATTTTTTTCAGAACCTACCAGATATAGTGCTAGGCAGTAGAGATTCAAGATGACTAAGACATAACCTGTGTCCTCAAGAAATCCCCAGTTTTAAAAAATAGAACAGGAAAGAAAGAAAAATGTATAATCTAGCTGAACAAACACTAATAATAATAGCTAGCACTTTTGGAGAGATTATTATTATTACACATAATAATTCATCCTTTACATGAATTAACTTTTTAAATTCTCATAATTCCATTAAGTATATTATAATTATCCACAATTTACACATAAAGAAAGTGAGGTACAGAGAGGTTTAGTAATTTACCCAAGGTTACACATCTAGTGTGTTGCAAAACCAGTACGGATGGTCCCCAACTTCTGATGGTTCACCTTATGATTTTTTGACTTGATGATGGTGTGAAAGTGATAGGCATTCCATAGAAACTGTACTTCAAATTTTGAATTTTGATCTTTTCCCAGGCTAGGATATGTGGTACGAAACCTTTTCTTGATCTTGGCCTGTGGTAGAGAGCCGCTGCTCCCAGTCAGCCACA